GTTCTTGCTGTTCTTGCTGTTCTTGTTGTTCTTGTTGTTCTTGTTGTTCTTGTTGTTCTTGTTGTTCTTGTTGTCCTTGTTGTTCTTGTTGTTCTTGCTGTTGTTGCTGTTCTTGTTCTTCCTCAAGGCCATCTGCTGCTCACATGGAAGGCCTTCAGTGTTTACTTTAAAGGCGCCCTAGGGGTCCTTTAGTGTTTACATTAAAGGCGCCTTAGGGGTCCTTTAGTGTTTACATTAAAGGCGCACTAAGGGTCCTTTAGTGTTCACATTAAAGGGGAGGGGAGTCCTTTAGCATTCACATTAAAGGCGTCTTAGGGGTCCTTTAGTGTTCACATTAAAGGCGAGGAGTGTTCGGGGATTTTTAATAGTATTTAAATAGAGTATATATGCATAACAAGGAACGTGGAAGTCCACAGTATTCAGATGATTCTATCATGAAATGCAAATAGTGATGCATTTTCAGCATATTAACTTTTTACACGTCTTACGGTTACGCTTCTAGCTCTAACAAAAGAGGCACAGTGGATGTTGAAGCGGAACTAGAAGGTGACACCGAACGACAAAGCATACTTGCCGAACTTGCCGAGGATGCTGAGGAACTAGAATGGCAGGCTTTGTCTCGCACAACGTCACCCTTTGTAAAAGCCTGCTGTCGTACCTTTTTCGAAGACAAGGTGGGTATTGGTTACCTCTTTTCCTATATGGGACTGATTGCAGTGCTCATATCGTTGACCACGGCACATCTTTACGGAACGACGACCTACCAAATCTCTCTACTGGAAGCCCATTTGGTCGACACGAGTGGAATTCGCTCCGTGGGGAGCATCGCCGGTGGAGGGCATACAGATTCGGATTTTATGACGCATATATGCTGGCTCTTCTCATTCTGGTTCTGGAGGTACTACTGCTAGCACCTACACGAAGATTTCCACAGCTTCCGTGAACAATCGTACCAAGGAGAATCATCTGAGAGCAACGAAGTAGGGCTCGTTGAAACGGTGAAATGATTGACGAATAACACTTCTGTAGGGGAACAACTCTTAGGCAGACTGCCGAATAGATTCACATCGTCAACACTGTAGGGGCCGAAAGAATCAACAAAAACATGCTGCTCTAATGAATCCTCTTCGACGCTAACTAAAGTGGTAGGCGGTCTACTTGATAACGCGAAACTGGAAGATACAGCCGCCAAAGAGGTCAAGAATCGGGTTCAGTACGATACCGACGAATCTGACTCAGCGCAAGGTGGTCAAGGAATATCAGCAGGCTCAGCTCCTGCTGTCTCCGCTGCTGCTGCTGCTGCTGGTGTTCCAGCGTCACCCTCAGCGCCGGCAGTTGTCACTCCCAATGCACCACAATCGTTTGCTTCGCTAGATCCTGCAAGGAAATCGTCCACAGGAGCAGCAGCGAGAGCAAGAGTAGAGCAAACTGTAGCATCGCTTATTTGGCAACATCACGTCCCTCAGCTGAAGGAGTTGCTGTTCGGGAAGAGCATGGAACCGAGTCAGTACAGTCAGACGTTGGAGATGAGCGGACTAGCAGATGGAGGAAATGGAACAAAATTTGGTTCAGATGAAGGCGATTCGAGCTTCGCCACAGTCGGATCCACTCCTGCTCCAGCGAGCACCAATGCTCCGCAGCGTGTCTCCTACGCCCCAGATGACATCCTCACATTCTATGACGTCCACGAGCTGCAATTGTCCTATGACGGCATCACCTTCACACGTAGCTACGAAGAACCTGGACGCATCGAGATCTTCGCCAGTGGGGTGGAGAGATTGGAGTATCAACCATTCTTGACACGCAGTCTAGGAGACAAACTGCACGATCCGGCTCTGGTGGACACCAGTAACGAGGATCTGGTGGAGAACGTCAAAGACGTGCTGAAAGAACTGGGTGCGAAGGCACGGAAGGGGAAGCAAAGTGCAGGAGGAACCAGCGGCGAAGAGAAACAGGAACAAGATCCTGTTGTAGATTTATGCAGCTTGCTGTAATTCTATTGTGATAAATTGATGAAAGGCATGATTGACGTTTAAAGAAGAAATACAGATCATGACCTGATGACTTTCTTGGTGGGAAACTTTCGGGACCCCCTCCTTCTAACAGGCGACCTCGTGATCCATGTGAAAAAGGGTGAAGCGGATAAGGAGGATGGTGGAGAGGAAACGTGGGACGAAATTTATGAGTTTGAAGCGATGGAAAGAGATGGTTTCGTCAACACCGGAGTTCAACCAGGAAGAAAGGAGATGAATTTGAAAAGCTTGGATTTCTTCGTATCACCGTCGCCACGTGGTGCGGATCATGCACTTTTTATGGAGGTATTGTCTGGAGGTAGTGGTAGTTGTAGCAGTTGCAACGAGAGTGAAGTAGATGTTGCTGATGCATCTTGCATTGGCGAGGTCGTGATGACTATTTTTCATTGGCTTCTCCGTACTTGATCATCGGTTGTATCTAAGTTGTTCATGATCCCGACACTCTTTCTCTTTCATGGTAACCATGTTTGTTGAAGAATGAAATGGTAAAAACAATGAAAGAGAAGAAACTTCTCTTTCAGATTCAGAACTACAAGTTTGACTTTTTCTAATTCCACCCTGAACTACGCATTACTAAACGGTCGGGATCCGAACAAGGAACGTCGATTTTTCTGGACCAACATCTGTCTGGGATCAGAAGAGGTCGCGGATGTAGGTGCGTGGGCAGAGCGATCAGCTAGACCCGATGTGACGGAAGCGGCACAACAACTGCTAGCCAGTGGAGGACGACCCAGATTTTCTTAAGAAAATTCTTGATCATCTTGACGAAAAATAGAACATTCTTGTCCTGAAGACGAGTATCGCTATCGTTCTTCTACTTCTTCTACTTAGGCTTTTGTACGCAAGTGCCTGTGGCCCACTTGTTCATCTTGCACTTTTGAATGTAGTAAGTTACTCGGAAATGTTGAATAGAGGCACCAGGGTAAGTCGACTACAGCACGGAATCCCGGAGGACATTTATATGTTCTTGTACTAGCTCCAATCTCTGTGGCGATTCGAGGGTGAAGGAGGTCAGTTAGAGGGTGGAAGGTATGGCTCACTGTTTAGAGGAGAAGAATGGGAAGCACATATGGCCAAAATGAGACAGGATCTAGTAGAGGAGTTTGAGGATCAGGATGACGATGAAAATGGAGGAAAAACACCGCCAGCTAGTCCTGGAGGCGTTTCTTCTAGGCAACAGGCACCTCCAGCAGCTGCGCCAGTACAACAAGCGCAACAGCCACAACTCCCAGCAGCGAGCCAGGAAGTTGCTCCTCCTATGCCGAGTGTCTCGAGTGGAGAAGCAAGCGTAGCACCACCAGCAAATACGCCAGCATATTTGCCAGTACCCCAACAACCAGTGCCGCCTGTGGATATGACCGGCAGCGCGACCGTGCTCACCCCATTAAGGCCGCTCGTATTTCTAGAGTTCTACTCTTACTTGTTTATAGGAGAATGATGTAGTTCTAAAACCTGCAGAGCAAGGCTCTACCGATCCAGCATTCCAACAGCAAGGAGATGCATCTGCAGCAGCAGACGATGTAGCCGCGGAAGGAGCAACTGGTCAAATTGGCAGCACCGAACAACAAGTGCCTGAGGCGCCTGGTGATGTTCCGGATTCAGTAATTGGAGGAAGTGGCACGACTTCTTTCTTGGAAGTTCAGAGGACTTCAAAGCACAACCATCGGCGGGTACACGACAAGAAACGTCAAAGAAGGCAACATTTTTATGCGCATGAACAAGATCATGTTGAGGAAAATACCCACGATTTTCGTGCTGGGAGGAACGCGAAAAGAACAACATCCAGTAGAAGTACTACATCTTCAAGAAACTACGTTCGAGACCATGACGACAAAGGACGAAAGCATTCCCGGCTCCTGGGAAGTAGCAGAAAACCACTTTATCAACACCAGCGTGCGGGAGCAAAAGCTCATGGAAAGCGAGTGCGCCGTCTGATGAAGACAGGAGGTCGCAAGCATCCGCGTTCAGTTGCCGCAAGGACACACAGGAAACGCGGAAACGCGCAGCGAGCCAAACAGTCATCCTTAATGCAGAATAGACTCCATCATAGAAGACACAAGGGCAGCAGAGGGCAACATGAGCAGAACGCCCGTAGAACTTCTGGACACCCTTCTACATCAGCTTCGTCATTTCTGGAAGGGGGAGAGTCCACGACAAGAACTGAAGCCTCCTCTTCAAGCGCTGATACAACAACCTCTACCTCCGACGAGTCTGATACAACAGAGTCCGCCGCGTGGGAAGGGGAGCATACTCACTATTACACTCCCATTCGCGCGGTGGAAGACCCAGAATCCGACACGCCTTGGAACTGTGGTTCTCTGCTACCCATGGTCGTGACTGAGGACGATCTTGTTCGACATACGCGCTACCCAAACATCGCTACGACCGGCGTTCCTGCTTTTCCGGAGATGGCTGTGGAGACCGTCTACAAGGCGCCAACGCACCACGAGGAAGCTAAGAAAGCTTTTTTTGCGATTTTTGGGCGTGCGGTTCAGCAAAGAGGTCCCGTCGCGCGACCCGAGTTGCAGGCGACACGCTTGCTGAGGACAAAACTGGTGTCTGGGATCTTCAGTCGAGACACCTTCTTTCTCATCTTTCCCATGATTGTTCACTTCCTAGACCTCTTTGCTGCGTTGGTTTTCCTGTGGTACAGCGTGGTCATGACCGTGGTCTACTTCTATGGCAACAAGTATGCCAGGGAGAAATACGGCTACACGTGTCGCGGGAAAGAGGAGTTCGACCTTTTGGTGGGCAGGACCTTGCCACCAGGCAGCACAACGGAAGAAAGGCTGGCGCATATTCGGGTATATTTTTTGCTGAAGTTTCACTTTTCCTTTGAATTTTCATCGATTATTTGATAGTACTATTACAGTACAAGTACTCCTGTTGTTGATAATCATAATCTGTCTAAGATGCACATACGTAGTTTCCTCGATTGTACAACTCCACAGGAAACCGATCGCCGAGGCGAAAACCCAGGAGTGATGTACTACAGTTACGCGTACCAGACGCTATCTTTGAGGACCGTGATTTTCTCCTATTTGGCCACTCTCCTCCATTTCTATTCCGTCTTCGGCGTGGACGTTCGGTCGAGGTTGCTAGACATGTGCAACACAGCACTGTTAAGACTTGATGAAGAAACCACGTTTCATATTTGTACACTCTGTAATATTTGAAGACGCAACATTTCAAGAAGAATAAACGTGTCAACAAATATGCAAGGCAAGTAATATGAGGTCCGGCTCAACCTTTAACACGAGTTCCGGCTTACGCTACGTTTTTCCTTTCGGTTCGAATCATCTTTGTGCTGGGCTTGTTCGGTGGGATCAATCATGGCTTTACATTGATCAAAAACGTCGTAGTGGAAAACCGAAGAACGCTGTTTCACGCTTACTATTTTATGAAACGAAAATCTGTTATCATTATCAAGTTTCTTAGGTAGAAAAGTACGATAATGATAACTACAGGTTTAGGCTTCATGTATTTAGCCTTTTTGGTATTCTTCTGCACGTCTGGGGTGCTGTATTTGACCGAGAGGAGGAATGGAAATTTGAACGAGATTCCTCGCTACACGAATTTACCATTGGCAGCAACGTACACGAGTAGACTTTTCACGGGCAACATGGGCATGGCGAAGGAATACTCCTTGGAAGGATCTGTCTTTCTTTTTGTTTATGGCTGGAACTCATGAAAGAAACTTCATCCTTGAACTGGAACTCATGAAAGAAACGAGAAACTTCGTGTTCGTCCTTGAAAGAATACTTGTATAAATTCCAATTCCAATTCGTCCTTGAATAAAAATGCATTGTCTAGTTTAAAGTGTTCTTCTTCCTTGAATACTTGAATAGTTTATGTTTACTCAAACTTCCTTGAAGAATAAATTGTAGTTTATGTTTATTGGTGGACTCATTCGGGATAGTTGTAGAATAGTCTTAGTCAATTGCAACTCCTACATTCTAATCCTGAGTAGTCCTCGCAGCTGCTCCAGCGATCTTCGGTATCTTTGTTGGGATAATCACTGACGGTTTGCTAGGAGAACTACCCCGTGTCCGATGTGAGGATCCGTATTGGAAAATTCAAGCTGGTCGATTCCACGACATCATTTTCCTCAAAAAATGCGCTCAGCAGTGGAGAAGAGTGACACAGGATCGAGTTGCAGTAAGGAATAGAAGAAAAGCGGGGATGCTGGCAGGAGCGAATGGTAGAAGTAGTAGCAGGGCTAGTGCAGGGCCGGAAGGAAGACAGTCTGGGTCGTTAAGGATTGTCAATTGACATCTCAATGTAACAAACAGCATGAAGATGCCTTTTTCTTGCAGTTGCACGAATATCAAATCAATAAAGGACAGCTCTGGAGATCAGATGAAGATGTGTAGGATATCATATTTCTTTGTATTTCCTCACATTGAGAGTAGGGAAATAACCGCTAACAAAGGAATTACGAAGAGCATCCACGTCTGACGACGTTGCTGTGCCTGTGCTTGTGGGGGAAGATGGAACTAGAATGAAGATGGATGGGATCAGAGAAAGTCGAATAGCGCACGAATTGGTCAATATTCCAGATGAGGATTATATGACCGAATCTGATTTTAGTCATGGCAGCGACCATTACATGCGGATCTCTTGGGTTGGGAAGATTTTCACGGTGCTTCACATCCTTGCGGCTGTAGTGGCCATATACGCTAGTGCGCCTTCAGCGTCAATGACGGTAGCAAATCTGGTAACTACAGATGCACCGCCGAAAGAACAACGGCCGACGACAGCTGGCAGCACACCTGGCGCGAGTGCCAGCACGACATCTGCTCCAGTAGCAGGGACGACATCAGAAGCAGCTTTATTAGATACATCTACTGCACAAGGACAAGGAACAACGTCTTCTTCACCATCTCGTGCAAGCTCTCCTCTGCAGCATTATCCAGCCTTTCATCCAACGAAGAGCGCCACAGGGCCAAAATCCGTTGGAGCCGCGAGATTAGTCAAGACAAAATCCGATGGTTCGCAATATCAAGAGGTGCTACAAGGAACTACCTTTGCAGCTTCAACGGGCTCTACAGAGTGGCTTTCGAGTACACCTGTACTAGCACGAGCCAGTAGTGAAGATGTTAAAGCAAAAAATGCTCCCACTAACAATGCAGCTGCAGGTGTGGAGAAAGACTCAACAATGAATAAAGAATTAGTAGCACCAGCAGCAGATGACGCACCAGAACCACAAGAAGCAAAAGTTGAGACCGTAGTACCTCCAATCCCTGGAGACCTCGTCGTCAAGGACTTGGATGAAGCAGCTAGTAAATCGTCGCTCGACCTCAATCCCCAACCAGATGTAAAGACCTCTCGTAGTCCCCGCTTGGGAGAAGTGAAACCCTGCGGCACCGGACCAGACTCTTGCTTCATCAATGCGCGCAAACAATGCGCGCCTGCTGCAGTTGATGCGCATGACGATGAGGATGAAAGGATCACTTTCAACATGATCAACCCACAACCACACATGCGACCCCAAGCGGACTCTACACTGCCACGACACATTGTTGATGACAATTAAGGCTAGAACTGTAACTAATCTGGCAGATAAATAAGCATCTTGCCCCTCTTTCTACCAATTCCTCAAGTCAAGAAAACAAGACCTAGAGCTAGACTCATCATTAAATCTCTAAGACAAGGATCTCCTCTCATCCGAGATCCCGCTTGTCCGCCGCGTCCCCAAGTCTATGGCTTATGCAGAACCAAGATGGGTCTTGGATCCAGAGGACGACTTGATCCGAGATATCGACACGAGACAGCTGTACATGCAAGGAAGCCGTTGGTTTCTCTTCCTCTACATTCTTCTTCCGTTGCAACTGATCTTTCTGGGAGAGTTGATTTTCTGCGCGTATGTGGACGTGTACAAGCAATCCGAGATTCAAAAGAAAAGGAATCTATGGCTCAGACTTTATCGGTCGCTGAGAGTGCTCACTGATCCCGAAGGAGGTGTTATCCCTTCAGAATCAGTCTACTGACCTTTTTTTACTATGTATGGTTCTGGTATTTTTGGTATAGCCTGAATTTTATCCTAAGGGTTCTCTTCTTGTTTTCCCTTAGGATCAAACTCAGGCTATACCAAAAATACCAGAACCATACATACTAGTGACCTTTAAGTAAACCATCTTGGGTCCAAAAGGTCGGCTTCAGTTGGCTCCGGAAACTACTGCCCGCATCCTGGTCTGCGTGGTCTTGGCTCAATCTGTTTTTGATGTTAAGGCTTGAAAAGGAAACTCCTCCCTGTCTCATCAAAAGACCATATTTGTCCCACCGTTTCTCAAAAAAACTAGATAGACGAGCTCAAGATGGTTTTGTTTTGCAGTTCGTACTTTCTAATGATGTTGCTATTTTCGGCACATATGATCACGTGCTGTGTGATGCTTGGCTTTGGGGGTGACGAGAACAGCAGCAGCAGCAGCGGCCTGGATATGAAGCAGTCCGTGCTGAATGAGGAGCAGTACTTGTTAGGATTCTGGAAATTCAAATTCACCATGAGTAGATCAAGAAACAAACGTAAAAAGAATTCTAGAAGACAGCTGTCTTTCTGAACAAGGATCGACAATATAATGCTATTATATATGAGCCTAACACAAAGAAGATTCAGGGAAGTTGTCGCATGTCCAACCCGAAGCAGCTAACATCATCATCATCATCATCATCATCGTCATCATCATCATCATCGTCATCATATACGAGCCTAGTTCTCTCGTCTAATCCCCTTTCCATCCGACAAGAGTCACTATCTACAAGAAGGAGTTCACGATAAGCCAGCCGCCTCAGGATCCTCTGCATCGGACGTTTTGAATGGGGTGAGTGACTCCACTACTGCATTTGTTCATGGAGTGCCCAGAACGTGCCCAGTAGTTGCACCCATTATTTTGGCCACGAACGAAGGCAAAAATTATGGATCGATATTAAGTGCAGCATCCTCGTCATGGGTTCAGCAGACATCAACTACCACTTCTAGCGGAGAAGAAGACGTGTCAACCTCAAATTCGGATGATTACACTTCTTCAATGGCAGCATTGTCCAACCAAGAGGACAAGCAAAGCACAACATCGAGTTCTCCACTATCATGGCTACAGACTGGTACGTCAGCTTCAGCAGGAGCGGAGTTAGGCTCAAACAAGGTACTGAATTACCCACCGTCTGACGATCCACCAGCTATCCCAGCACCAGGTGCATGGACCGCAGATGGCAGAAAATTAGATGAAAGACAGATACTGCCCTCAACGTCATCAGGAGGTGGAGGAGCGGGAGGGAAAATAACAGCAGAAACCCGATTGAATTCAATGCCGGTGGAAGCACTAGTAAGGCTGGTTGTATGCGTTGACATTATACTATTAGTTCATGGTTAGCACAGCGATGATAGTAATCATACTTGATTTTTTTTGAAGCGCAAAGTCAAAAGTACTAGAAGGGAGGTGCACTATCCCCAAGAAATGATGGATTCCGCAGCTGATTTCTAACCCCAGACGATGATCCAGACAATCCTCGTGTTGTTGTTCACGAACTGTCGGAAGACGTGTGGGATGTTTATAAGCAGGTAGATGACGTGGGAAAGGAATACCTAGGAATTGTTCACGACGACCAGAGTGGAAAGAGAATTTGGCAAAGTTATGTCTTTCTTCTTCTTTTTAGTAAATGATTTAGATTTCTCTCTTTAGTAGAACTGTGGAACAGGACTAGTACAAGGCGTCTTAGGCGTACGGGTAGGGGTAGGGGAATATGATTAAATGAGTAGTACCGAGGAAAAATCACATCTTCACTCAAGAACAACAACAAGAACAAGAAGGCACCAAGTCGGAAGCATTCGTATACGTACTTACAGGAAGGTACTGACAACATGATGACACTGATACATCAACCACTCATCTAAGAAAAGCGCGCCTCAATCGCAGATCCTCTTGATGCATTTAGGAATCCACCGAAAATGCGGGTAGCCCACCTCCGCTCAGCCGCGATGGTTCAGGCTTTCGAACTGGAGCGACAGCAACAGCGAACACAGATACCTACAGGTGGCTCATCGTCCTCATCTGGGACAGGAGCTACAGCAGAAGCAGACTCTGTTCTAGTTAAGGGTTGCGTGCTGGGAAAGCCATCCCCCAAATTCAAATTTATAGAAATTTTTCAGCGGAAAAGGAAATAGGAAATGAACATTCATAAAAAATATAAGGCGCGTGAAACCCAGATGGTCACCTCTTTGAATTCAAAAAAATTTTGTGAATTTTCTAGGACCTACACCTCAGCTTCTAACTCTCCTAGTACGACTCCACGTCGGTCCGCACTAGGAGTGCCTCTATCCGCGGACAAGGCAGGAGGAGTATTGAGAGCTGCTGACAAAATGCGTGGGTCTATTTAAGGCTAGTGCTTCACTATCCCATGTGGACTAGTACGCTGAATGCAGAAGTGGTCCTCCTTGATTTAATAATTGGGAAAGTTGTCAGGGGCAACACCAACACCAGGGGAGGACCATCTCACTCAACCAGTACCAGGCATAGTGAAAAACTAGCGTTAATCTTTGGTGAAGGGGAATATTCCTGCTACCGCCGGGGGTCTAACACCGCGAGCATCAGCCAGCTCTTCAAATCCTCCTCCAGGAGCATCTTCTTTCATCTCCACGTCGTCCAGTACTTCTAGGACTTTTAGTAGAGATCATGATGCCACTTCTGATGTAGATGATGAAGCGGCGGCTGAAAGAGAGGCCGCTTTATTCAAACCGCGGCAAAGCGACAACATTCCTCTAGAGCAATTCTCGACTTCGGAGATTTTCGCCCTGCAACTCCAAGAATATGTCCTCGCTTTTCTGGCTCTGCATGTGCTCTTTGTGATTCGACATCTCATGTCTGCAGAACTGCACCGCGTGCGAGATTCCGTGATCGCGCAAGTCCAAGACACAGCCTACGCCATTTTCGTCATCCTAGTACTGACAGCCATGATCTTTGGTCTGGGACTGTATCTGACAGAACGATACGATACGCCGGATTGGAGTGTAACGGTGTCTCCAAAAGCGTCAGGCGAAGACATCTGGGGGAGGCAAACAGGTGTGGGGAGAGGGAAGTTAAGGTCAGTATTTTTAAGCTGGTAGTCTCATCTTTGCCACGACTCTTTCAACAGAGGTGCAGGTTGGAGAAAATTCCACCTTCTTACCAAGAAGTGGCACTAGGTCGTGGGAGAAGATCTCTTCTTGCGTAGGGTAAGTACATGATCAAGTGGAACACTCAGCACTAGTCACTCAGCCGCACACGACAACCGAGATTCGTCGCTTGTTGTAGGTGTAGTGAATTTCATTTTCTTTCTCTACCAGGTGTAGTGAAACAAATACAGTTGTAACCTCTGTTTCTACCTCCTCTAAGCCTCGCGGCCTCATTTGCCTCGTCCTTTCTGTCAGAGGTGCCACTGCCTAGTGTGTTACACACTATTTTCCTATGGGAGAACGACCATGCAGTTGCGGAAGACGTTGCGCTTAAGACGGCTAGTGGCAATCGCCATCACGTCTTGTTGAAGAAAAGTCTGAACGACAATTTCGACGCCAAACCTGCTGGTGTCATTTTCCAAACAATAGGGGATAGCTTTTTCGCATCTCTCAATCTCGTAGCGTACGGTAACTGGGTCCACGATGACTACAGCATTGCCGGGAATTGGGTGCTTCTTGTCGTTACGTGTTTTTCGGTAGGGATTGGAGCGTTGCCTTATGGAAGGGATCATGTTGATTCTGATGTCTAACAGATGACGTGGACGGTCGAGGTAAGACTTTTTACTGGACTTACATAGAATAGTTGAGCGGGTCGTTCGTTGGAGGAGGTTCGTTGGAGGAGTGCCCAGCACAACACGAGCATGAGCAAGTTAAATTTTCCGATTCTTTTACAACTCAATCTCAAAAGATCAAGAACATTATCTTATCATAATGCCCACCTCGTCGTCCAACCCCAACCTTCATAATTGCCCCAACCTTCATAATTGCCCCAACCTTCATAATTGCCCCAACCTTCACAACCAGAACCCCGCCCATGATCTGCCTCCACCTCTAATCTCCAGTCGCCATCGTTATGCAAGCTATTCTGTCTGCTTCAGCGGAGGAAGAAGCGGCTGGGGTAAACGTACAGGAGTTTCTAGACCGCATGTCCGAAGACATACATCAGCAGAGTGCGGAGGACAACTTTGCTGACCTAGTTTTGGAGAAAATGCGCGCGGCTGCGGAAGACGCACAAAGGTCGAGCGTTGATATTATGATTTTGATACATAGATTGATGACTGCACAAAGGTCGTGGTCGAGCGTTGATATAATTAAGATTTTGATACATAGATTCATGGCTAAGTAGTCGTGCCTTGTAGTACTGAACTTTCTGCATCTGGTGGATCATTCGAAAAGTAAAAAGACACGGAGCAATATTAAACTAAGTAGAATCAAAAATATGAGTAACAAGAATAAGAAGTGAGTCCTCTGATAACCTGAACCTCCCGGTAGGAAGGAATGAATGAATATCATGAGTCAGTAAGAATATACGAATATAAGAGTAGAATGAATCAATATCATCATGTTTCCTCTGATATTAACCCATTAGGAATCAATATCATGTTTTCGAATTATATGCAACCTACTCTAAGATCTCAGGGCAACAGCGAAGGAAACGCGTAACGATGGCTAGGGTGAAGCGGATTGCGGAAGCGGTGAAACGTCATCGGACAAAGGTGGAGATGCGTGTGCAAGAAGTAACCGGCACATCGAGAGCATCTATCATTGTTAAGGCTACTATTTTTACTAGTTAGATTGATATCTGCTCACCCATAGCTATTTTGGACGAGGACACGCGGCGCCTAGAGAATAGATGGATCCTACTTAGCATGGCCAATACAGTAATATCTGCACTACTCTATCCTTTATCTACATTCATTTCTTTTACTTTTCCTAGTTAGATTGGCTCCACCCATATTATTAAGGCTACTGTTGAGTTTGGACTTGGAGATTATGCATCCATTTGCATTTCCATTGCGTCTTTGCTTACTTAGGTTGCACGGAAGAAGTATCATTATGTCCACGTCCATATTCGAGATCGAGAGTACCTCTAATAAATGGGCGACGGCAACAGCAGGTAGAAGTACAGAAAGAAGTGCCTCAATTTCATGAAGTAGAACTACCTCAGGCCTGATGGGTATGGGTCGATGATGGTAGGCAATTCAGGCTGCGCAGTGGATGAGCAACCAAAAGGGCAATGATTTCTTTTCGATCAGACTCTGATCCAGACGGCTACAAATGTTGTGCTGGGTAGGTTTTTATAGGTTTAGGACGTACGAGTACGAGTACGTCTACGTACGTAGTTTTAGATTCAGATGTTGTCGTATATTGTATAGGATTATGTCATGTTGATGCACAGAATTACCACGCTGGATCAAACTCTACTGTGGTACAAGAGAGAAGTTTTTTCGTCTCCATTTTGCGAATTTGAGCTGTATCGATGGCATTTTAGTATATGCCGACAAATAACTCGAACTCAATGAAACGTTAATTTTGAATCCTTCTTCAGCTTTCTGCACTCCTTATTCCTAGAATTATCAGAAAGAGAAACTAACATCGGGATTACGATTAGCAAGCACCAAGTCATTCAAATTTAAATAAGTCTAAAAATTTAAGTTATGTTTTTGAGGTAGTCCGTGATTATTGGTCGTGTACAATGACAGTGTACAACAATCTAACAGCACCTTATGGTTATGAATCAACATCAAGCTGATGTATCATTATCATTTGCCATCCTCTGTACAATTATTTTGTTGACAGTTCGTTCCACCTAGTTGCCATAGAGAAAGAAAGTAGATATTAATTCAGGGAGATGAAGGAGTAGGAAACATCATGAACTGCCACATCATTACAGTCCCAGTCGCACGAAGCTGAAAAAATCCAGCGATAACAACAATCGAGATATACTGGGGTTACCTGGTAGTACCGTTTCTGGAATTCCTGGTACTATCAGGTGACCCCAATATGCACGTGAACGATGGTGCATATTTAGCGTAATCCGTCTGGTCCTCCTCCCAAACAAGGAATGGCCATAGTTGTGTTGAGACAATACTAAAGGGCGTGATGGATCATCTTTCTCAAACGAGTAGTCTTGCGATCACAGCTTTGCGAGAATAAAGAAAGTGATGGGCGTGGGAACAAGAGTGAGCGAAACTAGATAAGATAAAGATGTAGTGATCTCCTATATTAAATATTTCCACTTCTACTTGTTAGTTGTTACAAGTTGTATATCCACCGCTGCGCCTAGAAGAACATACAAGATGTCGGGTGCCGACGCTCTCATCACGTCTATTGCTTTGCAAGGCTTGGGCGCCGTCATGGCCTGCCCACTGGACCTCGCCAAGACAAGGTTCCAGTATGCGACTTTCTTCGAGCGACCCGCTATACCTGAATTGAAGCACTACACCATGTCCTTTGGGTGGCGCAGAGGGATGTTCCAGTCAGCCGGCTACTACCTAGGAACGCCATTGGTATTCAGCTTCGTCTTCGATATGCGGAAGCATGATGGAGCACTACTGGCAGCCCTGCAAGCGCGGTTTGTGACGACTCTGGCGTTCAGTCCATTGGAATTTATGACCAGTCCCTATATGTCCTAAACCTTCATACTACTACACATATAAATACTCAATATCGTCCGCGTCCCTACATTTAAACATATCGTCCCTATATGTCCTAAACCTTCATACTACTACACATATAAATACTCACAATATCGTCCCTACATTTAAACATATCGTCCCTAAACCTTCATACTTCTCCTAGTCCTTCATGCTTCAAAATTGACCAACGGACGTTGCATCAAGCGACAGGCTTGCGCGGATTCGACTTCCTCCACTGCCTCCTCCCCTTGAGACGACGTGGCGCACGCGGACTCGTGGCCACGATGGGCAGGGATTTGAGCTTCACGTGGATCTACTGTGGTGGTCTCTTACTGGCCAAACAATCGAAACTGATTGCGGCAACGGATGAACTCACGCGCACGAGCAACGATAGTCGGGGAACGCTGTCAGCTTTATTTGGAAACATAGCGATGCCGTTTACCGACCCAGCAAGCTACTTCGTGTCCTTCTTTTAAGGCATTCCGTGATCCCAAATTTGCCTTTTTTGCGTGTAGGTAACAATAGTCTCACTCTCTCGAGGAGTGGGGTATCTCAAATTTGCCTTTTTTGCGTGTAGGTAACAATAGTCTCACTCTCTCCGACCGGGTGTATCTCAAATTTGCCTTTTTTGCGTGTAGGTAACAATAGTCTCACTCTCTCCGACCGGGTGTATCTCAAATTTGCCTTTTTTGCGTGTAGGTAACAATAGTCTCACTCTCTCCGACCGGGTGTATCTCAAATTTGCCTTTTTTGCGTGTAGGTAACAATAGTCTCACTCTCTCCGACCGGGTGTATTACAATGGTCTTCTGCTCACTTAAACTTCAAAAGTTAAGTCCCATAAAGAGGTGTATCTCAAAATCTATGGGTCATTAGGGGGGTGTACCTCAAAATAAATGGGTCATTATAGGGTGAGCTCTAATTTCTTTTCGCTACTGCGGCAACAATAGTCTCGCATCCGTTTGACGTGCTGAAAACTCATATGCAAACGTTTCCAAGAGCCAGAATGGAAAATGGAACATTGAGAGTGCAAGAATCAACGCTGAGACAAACGTGGAAGCATATCACGTCAGCGATAGGACCTATGGGAAGGAGGGTTACCGACTACTCGCTGTTTGCGACAGGTACTAGCACTGCAGCAATTATCTTTGAGAAGCTTGACATCTTCAGATTGAATGATTCATTTACTGATATTTATTATATCAGATGAAAATGTTGACTTTCTTCAGTAGTTGATTTTCAGTTGCATAGAAGTTGCTTCCTTCGAAGACGAAGAAGTTTAGCACAACCACTCCCATCCCACTACAAGGCCTCCAATTCCGCCTTCTCCGCATCGTCCCGCTTTTTACCTTTCTCGGTAGCCAGTATTTCGAACAAGGTTGGGTCTCGGATGAAGATCCAGATAAAGCGTTTATCAAGCTGTGGGCAAGGATAACGGGAAAACCTGGTCTAGACAAAGGCGATATCGTAGATAACCGGAAGATGAAGCGGAATGTGCCTATGCATCCAAGGGAGAGGAAGACGAATCATGATCTTTAGGGTGTGTACAAGTTGTTGGTGAATTTGAATATTACTTACCAGACAAGCAGATGAGCAAGAAGATGTTGAAACACAAAATCTGAGTTGAGACTCACATGATGCAAAGGTAAATAATTTACACAATCTATCTTGAGTCTTGCCGTGATTTTGAAGAAGTAGCAACAAGCGAGAAAGGAAAGAGCTTTATCTTACGGAGTTCCAGTTGTTTACAAGGCTCACCACAACGCAGGAACAACATCAGGCATCTGTCCGGATCAGAGGGGACCCTCTGTTGTCACAAAGAAATGGTTCGTCAGAGCGATAGGACTTTTCCAAGATGAAATCGAGAGATCAGACAGTTTTTTGACATGCAGCAGCAGAGCAAAAGGAGCGTGGGAGTGAGAATGTACTAGGTTTTATTTTTCATGATAACAGCCATACATTGCTTTTTTTCATGATAACTAACAGCCATTCCAAAGCGATGGTTTTCTCATTTTTACGTCTACCTCGTCTCCTGACGCGTCCTCTTGTTGCTCGTTGGTTCCTCTGGTGGCTGATAGGCGGCGAATGCCTCTCACACCAGTGGAGCAATCGAATTGTTCTCGGAGTGCACGCCACACGCAGTTCTTCATCTGAACCACAGAAAACATTAACATCTGGGTCGCTCTATCAAGACGGAAGCAACGTCCGACGTGGGTCGTCCTCTGCTGGGTCCTCTCCTAGACCTAGTACAGTTGATTCTGAAAGAACATCAAAGCCGTCCTCCCAAAATAAAGTGGTCCTTTTCTGTGCTGACGTCGTCCATAGTTTTGGTGCTAGTGCTGCCGCTTTTGTCGCTCTCCTAACCTTCCTAACCCGTTGGAAGCGAACAGTTGGCTGCTTCAGCTATGACGATTGTCACACGGTCTTGAAATTGAACACACCGATTTCAGCCGAATCCGACTGGGGATTATGGGGAGTCCATTCTGGCGCAGGCTTGTCGCAATTGCCGTTGAGGGTACGGGAAAGCCTCTCAGGGGCTAAGCGGTTTAGAGACGTGTGGGACTTAGAGCATCTGGGAAAAGAGTTAGACATCACGTTAGCCGAGTTCGATCAAGATGTAGAAGTATTAACAACTGGAGGTCGAGGTGGAGGAGGTGAAGGAGAAGGAGAAGGACATCTTCAAGGTGGAGAACAAGAAGAGTCTCGTGGTCTTGGTGAGAAAAAAGGCTTGGAAAAAATTCCTTGTGCGAACAAGCTGTCGGCAGAAGTGACAATGAAAGTGGACAACATCCAGTTCGTATGGGCTGAGGACTACTGGAAAAGGACGAAGCCAGGCTCTTCTAACTTCTCTCAGGTGAAGATGAAGCACACGACGGAGCAGGAGAAGCAAGAACATGGGTCTTCGTTTAATGAAGCATTGTGGAGAATGTTGCCTTTGGTCCGAACAGCCAGACCAGACGACTTATTGCACAGGCAGAAGCCAGAAGAGTTGGAACCGGAGATGAACAAGTTTCTGTCGAATGCAGCTATGCTGTTCTTCAGCTGGGCAAGGGAAAGGGAGAAGCAGGCTGGTAGTGTGAATGAGGTGCGTGAAGGTATGACTTAGTTGTAACAGATCAAGATCTACGGACGTCGTCGTTTCCGTGAAAATCCGACTCTTTGCATCTTTTCCCCAATAGATGAAACAACAGTAGCTAATGAGTCCCTTAGTCCACCCCTCTTCTACCCCGTGGTTGCTCTCAAAGGCGAAAAAGCAGTAGAGGCACGACAAAAGACACGACCACATGCGCATGCAGAAAAAGTACTAACGCGTCACCTGAAAAACGCACAGGGTAAGGCAATTAGCCTAAGAAAACAGCTTGGCGAGCCGATCACCTTGTCCGACCAGGACACAGAGGCAGAGCGCAGACGCGCAGCCTTGACCTTCAAGTCAGGCGTTTTGAGGATCTATCTACAAGACTATTACAGTTTCACCTCCTCCACCTTTGCTGCCAATATGTTGTTGCATCTGGCCCCAGCGGTTTGGACCGATGAAGCTTTTGCAGTAGGAAGTGCGTTGCGGTTTAGGCCTCAATTTTTGCCAAGTGTGGAGGAAATGGCCGACGAAAAAGGGAGATGGTACAACAGAACAGCGGTCGTTGGGAGGAGTAATTAAGGCTCCCCCTAATCCATCTCTATAGACATCCCTCAAGCATATGCACCCCAATACAAGGGAGACACTGACGCATATTATGCTTGAGGGATTTCCACAGGGATGGATAGGGTTGAGGTCTAAAGTAAGAAGCAGGTCGAGGCGATGAAGAAGAACGCTTCTAGTGAGGGTGAAAGCCAAGTGGCAGTAGAAGAAGGAGAACAACCTTCTAGTACCGAGACCATATCGTCGCCCAGCACCAGCAACAACGAAGCTGCTCTTCAACCACTTGTGCGCGTTCTCGGCAGTGAGCGCGACCTAACCTCCCTCAGACACAAAGACCAATCTCCCTCAAACTTCCGCAACATCTTGCCACCAAAAACAGTAGAAATGGGAGAAAAGTGCGCATACGTCATGCTACGGCGTCGCATCTTCTTACCTGGGGACGAGCTGCCGATGAGAATACCGAAATTTAGAGGTAGACATCGTCATGGCTTTCGAACTTTTACTAGTGAGGAGATAGAACAAGTACACAAGGCTGGCGAGGAAGCAGATAGCATTTTCAGCTTGTCAGCTGATTTGAGGAAGAATTTGAATGCAATAGCACAAGGCGCACTCGCAGAAAAGCCGACTGCTACTACAGCCAGAGAAAGTACCGTCACACAACATCAAGGTGCTGGTGTTACTTCATCTTCAACTAAGGATGATACTCCGAAAACCGAAGGAGGCCCGGCGGACGATATTAACTTCATCGCCAAGAGCGCGTATGTGTCGATGACGTCGTGTAGCCGAATTGGAAGGGGAACGAACCCTTATGCAAACCAGGAGTGCGTCCAGTTTGTACCTTTGCTGCATTTCGTCCGCACTGTCGCCGAAGTGGTAGCGGCGTTGCTGAAATTAAGGCTCAGCTTTCAATGGTCATTGGGGTTAATTTGTTGGATTTTCATTTTTGTTTTTCCCTAGGAGCATGTTGCAGGAGCAGCATGAGGTGTACCATTTCAATTTCCCTCACCCTCAATCTGGGGTCACTGAGATCCCTCTTGAGGAAAGATGGGGGGAAAATGAAGGAAAAGCAAAGGGAGAGGCATGGGGCCCATTTCTTTCAGAGTCATGATGACCATTGAATGCTGAGCTTTAATGAACGGCAATAAAGACCAGAAGCAGCAAAGACCATGCGCCGCTTTGAACCTCAACCTATATCGCAAAAGCGCCTTCTCCGACTTGAAAAGTTACAGCGAAACAGAACTTGTGACCCTTGAAAACTGGATGACTCAAGCAGCAAACGAACAAGTAGGAAACTTCTTCCCACATGATGATCCAGTAACGTTTCATATTTTTCGTAAGCCTTATCGGGATCTGGGACCACGATTTGAAGCAACGATTAATTTGGCACTCTTTCACTTGGCAACGAAGAGTCCTCTCTTCATATCGGAAGTTGGAACCTTCTGGGGTGATGCGGTTCTGTTGGAAAGAATGACGGGATGCAGGTAGCTTTCCACCTAAGGTTAGTAGTTTCCTCAGAGAACTTAGAATAGAAGTTTCCTGTAAGGGTCGTAGTTTCCTAAGGTTTCAGAGAACTAAGTTTCGTCACGTACAACACGTAGTTTACACTCGGTCATCTCTCACACGACACTGAGACTGACACAAAGGAAATCATCGTCGCAGCAGCAGCGTAGTCAATGATCCGTCCAACCACAAAACCAAAAAACTTGATTGCTATTTGTTTCTTATTTTTCTAAGTAGGTAGGGCTAGGGCTCCCTCCAATTCCTCTTCCAGGTATGGCCAACGTGCTTTGTCGCCAATATCCTCTCCAGCAGCCACAGAGGCCAACTGTCGCCCAGGAGCAGTTTTAGAGGCAAACGGCACAAGAATAGCGCGACCGGTGTGGCATTTTTCCCAGGAAAATCTGTTGCCTGAATCCTGTGGTCTCGTTCGGGGTAGGTGCACGCCCAAGGGTAGGATCTGGAACGGGTTTTACCACTGAGAATGTGAAATTTGCATTTCTTGTGTAGGTGGACTTAGATTTCTTGCCGCGCAGCGCGAAGAGTGTAAATTCTGAAGACGAAACGTCTCGCACTTGTTGAGCACAACGAGTACATCATAGGCTGGAGAATGTGTAGATTGCATGCAGCATGAACGATATGCTTTGTGGTTGAGTCGTTTCGGAATCCTAAGCCCTTTGAGCAGAAACTCTTGAGGAGAACGAAAACGGAACAAAAAAATAGAGGCTCGAAAAAGTTAATGGCATTTCTCTTTCAAAAAAGTGCAAAATGGCTATAAAAGCGAACACCAAGAAGATACTCAAATGATGATGCTACCAAAAAAGCGACATACGCATAGGCTCGTCGAGGGCTTTTTTGAGAATACAACAACGGGCTCTAATTATCGAGAGTCTTTAGACTTCGAGGACAACTTACCTGTCATATTAAAAACGATACACAATCAGCAAAAAACTACGACAACTAGAAATCATGTTGCTGAACACACGCAATGGGCATGGAGGGCCCATTCTGAGCGCAAGAGGCCTGACGCCTTTGCCTCCTTTGACGGTCACGCCGCCAGCAGATCTAGATGGATCATGGAGACAACCCCATCTGAGTGGCACAGGGTCTCTTAGCGGAACAGCAAAGAGCTTCTATGTGGTGCCGAGTGTGCCGGTTCCACCGGTATTTTTCAGGGGTTGCTCTTTTTGGTTTTGTGTACTAGCCCTTGTGTAAAATAACTACTAGTGTAGTTCATCTTGCCTCACGACTACATCGACCATCAATCACTGACACTGTAAACACTACCACGACAGCCAGCAGCCGTCGCAGCCTCTCGATTGTCAGCTAGTCATGGAGGCCAGGTTGTCGAAAATCAGCCACATCATCCATATGCGGGAGGAACACGTAACATCATTTAGAACAAACATATATCATCAACTTCCTTTCTACTTGTGCTAAATGTAAATCATGACTGCTGCAAAAACAAAACCCCTTCATATCTTCACACTCCTTCATATCTGTTCACACTCCTTCAGATGATCTTCACACTCCTTCATATCATAGGGTTCTTCGCCGCTCCATCCGCCGTGCCCTCTTTCGTCCCAACAGCTACAGGCAGTACAACGCAACAAAAGCCTAATCCAGGAGACATTGACATCACCCAAAATCCTGCAGAGAACTCAGCGACGGTTTTATCAATGGCCGAACTCGATGAAGAGGAAGAAGAGGAAGAAGAAGAGAGCCTTCACGAGCAAGCTAGTAAAGCAACGCAAGTGGTAGAGCATGTAGGCAATCTGATGGGCACATTGCAGAAACTACATGGAGTTAAGGCTGCCGCTCCAGAAGTACTAGTGCGACAACCTCGAGATGAATTATAGGTTCTATTCTTCGTCATGTGGATGTGTCCTTAATGTCGTCCTTGGCTCCTTTTTCAAGCAGAAAAAGGACGTCGCAGGGATGTCGTGTTCAAGGATGCGACGTGGTAGCTCTAATGGAGACAACAGAAAATGGAAAACGAAGTACATGCAAGCGAAGAAGGATTCATTTGCGAAATTTTTCACGGAGACAAATCGTATTATTTCTCTTTGGACGACCATGACGATGACTTACTGTAGTTACCCTCCGTATCTTTTAGATGGACCACCTGAGGTGTGAATACGAGAAGTAGATAAGTACTTACTCATCATGAACATGTAGAAAACTCTACGCTCCGAAGACTCCGTTGATATCCTGCTTATCCAGGAACATGATCTTCGTCCTTTCTTCCCTGTTAACCTTGGGCTTATCCAGGAACATGATCTTCCTTTCTTCCTTATTAAGCTAAACAAAAACCATGTTAATCTAAACAAAAAACCAGTCGGCTGCCAAGCGCATATGTTTCAGTTATGGCATAAGATAGCCAGAGAAGAGGTTTTAGAACGAAATATTGTCGCACTGGAAGCCCAATTACGGTCAACAAACGAATCGAAGGCAGCAGAATTGAATGCGCTGGAAGCGCAACAAGATTTGGGTACTCCTCTAGAGGAGTGATACTGCCTTACATGATTTTGAAATGAGAACAACAGAAGACAGCGCATCAGGGTCTTGGTCAATGGTAGTCTCCTGAGTGAGCTCATATTTATTTCTAAGCCCCTGAGAAGATGAACAAAGCTCCTCTTATACTCTCACAGAATTTCGCCGAAGGGAGAAAGAAGTCGAAACCACGGAAATCGAGCATCATAGGCAATTAGAGGAGCTTGCTGGTTTAGTTACGCAGGTCCAAGCCGCTCTGGAGGAGTGCAATCAAAAATTCGACGAGAACAAAGGCATCATACGAGATTTCAGGGTATGACATACACGAGATAATGTTTGTAAGTAGAATATTCATGCGGATGATTATATTAGCAAAATTCGATATTGACGAGTACTGAAACGATCTTGATTTCTTCAACTACGATTGATGTATTTGAATGATCGTCCTCTAGTACTAGAACTCATCGATTCGTCTCGTCAGTTACGCCTCTCCGGCATCTCAAGTGCACCTCCTTCTGGAGAAGCCTCGCCTAGGATGGACCCAGGACTCAAGACCGAATTTCTCAGGGTCCAGCTGCATGAAATGTTGCAAGTTATGAAAATTTCAAATTCAATGTGTAAGCAGCAATTTAATGTAGAACTTAGTAGGTGTGCTTCTTATAATTATTTTAAATATATCCTCGTCCTGCTACAGGGTGGAAAGTCAGAGTCTAACCCAAGAAAACCCTTGTGCTTTTACCTCACGCAAAAGGTTATCTAACACCCCCATCGATCCCCGCTATGTCCCGCCAATCGGCAGCGCCTTGACGAAGGACCCAGCTGCTCCTCAGTCTAGCGCACCAGGTAGCCGCAGTGCGTCAGTGAAGCGACGAACCACGACTGTTGCACGAGCGACTGTGTCCACGTCAACGGTCGTGGAGAATCGATGAGGATGCCAAAAGTTCTTGGTTTGATAGATAAAAGTAAATTAATAAGTTACTTAAGGTATTAAGCCTGAAGCTCTCGAGGTGGAGGTAAAGGTATCATCGCTATCTTGGTTGTAAGATTAAAAATATCATCAAAAACTGACACTTATTGTGCATGATGTTGATTCAGAATGAACGCTGAAAGATTCCAGAAGTATTCAGTCTATTGCTGCTAGCTTTTCTTTCTTAGTTACACAAAAACCAGATAGATACTCAGTCACACATTCTTGGGGATGGGTGTCTATCAAAAGTAAAGATACACTTGCACTTCCTGCTCAATCCAACTCATCGTGAATGAAAACGGACAATGATCATGTCAAAAACGATACCAATGAATAAAACATCCCCGGATACCGATGAAAATTATTCTAAAACGAACTAATTCTGACTATTGCTGCTGACTATTTTCCCAAATTGTTGCATGCTATTGCTATGACCGAGATGACCCGTGAATAGACAGATTTTTTGAGTCGTCATCAAGGACTTGTCGAAAGTTGTGAAGATGTACTAGTCCCATTTATTTTACCGAATAAGTACAACTACAAGGCTACCGTTACTGTACAGAGAGCTGCATAGAAAACCTCCATAAGTACTTTCTTACTCGAAATTATACACCGCGACACAGCTGTCATGAATATCGACGTCTTTCTAGAGGACTGTCTAAGTATATGATCACTCTAGACTATATGTTGGAGCATTCGAACACAGACTGTTAAGTCGCGTCTAGTTTCTCACTGAGAAGCGCTTGAGTTTGATACGGATTGCACTAACAGCCTGAGACAAATGGTCTCTGGCTGCTTTGATCCCTGTGGATGTTCATTGGGGTTGAAAGGGAAGGAAGTCTCAGCTTCTTCATTGGGATATCATGATGCATGGGGAAGCTTTCACATGCTTCATATGGGAACGCCTATGCTATCATCAATGATTCACACGATCATCCATATGTTCTCTGATCTGATCAGAACTGGCAAAACATTACGAACCTGATTACAGCTATGAACATTCATTATTTCTGCTATCGGAATACGTTGAAGGCCCTTTGCTTGTTGATCGTCGATTTTGGAACCATATGCATTTAGGTCTGTAGGTTATCTTGAGATCTTTCCTGTGTTGCTTTGTCCTTGACTGTTTTGGGAGGCTTGAGCCACATACGAGAGAGAGAGGAGAAACCGCCGACACCCGCGCCAACTAAGGCCAACGCGTTGAAAGTGGTGCCGGTGGGTACCTTGTTCGCCTGGCGATCTTGGTCATTTTGATGATCTTCATCCTTCTGATCTTGGTGGATCTTTGTGATGGTTCAAGGATTTACGACCATGACCAACACCCCTCCTCAATCGTTGCGTGTCGAAGTCCCTAGTCTCTGGACTATCCACGGAAGTCATATCTCCTAACTATTCGTCTATGACTACAGTCTACTTGTCTAGAAACCAAAGTAAACCCGTATTGAACTAGTTGGCCACTTCTCCGAGGCGAGCACAGGACGGGCCGGGCCCTTCCTCTGGGTCACCGTGTCTAACCTCGTATCCAGGCCTTGCCCGGCGGCTTCACAGCATGGACGCCGTTCCTCAGCCCTCCCAGTGACGGGTGTGTCGAGTTCTGACATCAGTCGGATTCGAACCCTGCGTCATTCAGATCCGGAGAAACTGAACTGAGACACTTGACCACTAGGCGAAATGGCTACTCTCTTTTTTTTTTTGTAAGTTAAATCATCATAGTTGGCCTTGTTTGTCGGGTTATCTATGTGGTGAAATAGTAGTCTACGTTGAGACGAGCTACGTTCTAGGTTAGTTAAGCCATCAGCCTTCACTAAGTTAGTTAGTTGGGCAGAAAACTACCTTACTCGCCGCATCACGCACACGCAAGTAGCGAAGTGCATAATGGCGACTCTTCGGGCATGTGTCAGTTGCTTTAGCTGTTGTGATCGCGGATTGGTTGTCGATCCAGAGCGCAGCATTGTCTAAAGAGGGAGGCAAGCCGTTCTGTGTGTGCACCAACTGAGTTGGTAGAGGCCTATAGAAGTCGGCAAAGTCATGCAGTTCACTAAGCACAATTGTGTCAGAAACTGCAGCATATTCACTCTCAGCCGTAAAATAAGCACGGACAGTTTTGCCGATTACTTCTCCAAGCGATTGGAACGCCTTTGAAATTTAATGCATGGTCCTTCACTTGCGTTCCCATAGTTTTCACGCAGTTGGCGAAGCCTGCATCACTAACGATATTCACCTCTGGCCTATCTCTGCCTTCAGGTAATAACTTTGAATAGATCTTGTTGAATTCTTCTTCTTGTTCTGGTGAGTATTCCAGTCCTTGTTCTCTTGTCACCAGATACTTCAGCACTTTTCTGGCTGCTTTAACCATTCTTGTTGACGTAGGTTAGCTGTCACGTCTAACCAACGCCTGCCACCGGTACAGAGATGTCCGGGCGCGCGGTTACAGCTACCCATAGCAAGGCGCCAACTACCTCACGATAAGGATACCCATCGACTATCTTGATCCCCTCCTCAAGAAAAGTCGACTCGTCAAAATAGGGCGAGTAAACCGGATTCCCGACTTGGATTTCAAATCTCTTTGCGATTCTATCAGTGTACTCTTCCACGTTGAGCCGAAACGTTCGAGCTTCACGACAGTAGTACACGACGGCACCTAAGAAGTCCCTGGCGACATCTTGAGGAACTTCTCTGGTGCTTTCGCTCTCGGTTTTCTCCATAAGCCTGGCGCAGAGTCACACGGTTCCCAGCCAAGAGCGGCTAGTATGTCGTGATATTTCTTGAACCATGCTCGTGGTGCGTCCTTCAAGCCGTATAAGGCCTTCTTGAGCTTCACGATCTCGCGTCCATGCTTCTCTGCCCAGATGGATGGGAGACGACAGAAGACATCGCGATCGAGTTCAGCATTGAGGGACGCAGAATCTAAATCGAACGGGATCACGTAGTCCTGTTCTGACGTAGCAGAAGCCAGGAGCAACCTACTTGCGGCATGTGAAGCTACGGGAGCAAAGGCGTTTAGCTCTCCTGATCGATCTAGATTACCGACGACACAAGCGCAGGCCTTGCATCTTCCACGTCTTTTGATAGTTAGAATTATGGCAATTGGTCGAGCCTGTCACGCGGTCGCGAGCTCCTCGTCAGAAGCTGCTTTCCACGTTTCAAAGGCTAGCAGTCTCGCACGCTCTTTCTCAGTAACCTCCTGCCACTTATCGGCATCAGGCGACTTGAGTGCTTGAGTAACAGACAAAATCGCATATGATTCGACGAGTTCCTCATCTTCGTCGAGTTCACACATGCCACCAACTGCACTAGCGAACAGCGCCATGCCCTTTCTCAATTCTTCTAACTCTTTCTTTGTTCTTCGTACCCTGCTGCCTGCCTTGTCCTTAGCTCCTTTTGGTCGGCCACGCTTCTCGCCGTGTGTATGGCGTTCGCCTGCCACAACACGTGCTGGAGAGGGCGCTTTCAACCTAGACGGACTAAGCGGAGCAGATGTCGCGCGATCCTTCGCTTCAACTTTCCCCTCCTCAGGTGAAACACCTTTAGGAGAGTCAGCTGCGTTGGATTCCTCTACTTTATCCAGTAATCTCTTCGGAAATTCCGGTCGGTCCACCTGGAATGTGCTCCGTGCCAGAGAACCCCGATTGATGGCCCAGCCTTAGCTCTGACTGTCCAAGCAAGGGGGAGCCCAGCTACGACGCGCCACCCAGCAGGTTTCCCAGTTCGTCAGACTCTATGTAGATGCCCTTTGATCTGGCAAAAGCCAACCAATATTCTTTATTAAGTAGTCCTCTCTGAACAACCTTTACATCTCGGGTAGAGTATTCCGCCCATCGATGTCCAAGCTTGCAACGATCGCCATGAGCGAACGTCCCAACCAACCAACCAGACGACTTCGGACAGAATCCAAGGGAAGACGCCACGGCGGCATTTGGCCAAGAGCTTGGGTTCAGGAGGGTTGGCTTGAATTTGTTCACGAAAGTAAACTAGACAACCAAATCGGCGGGGCATGCCGATTGAACTCTTCGAAGAGTTTCTACCAGTCCTATTGGACTCTTTCCATCATTTTGAGGCATTTTCCCGTAGTTATGCGGTAAACAATCCCAGCAGTCACCAGCGTGCTCGACGTAGTAACTTCCAGAGACGTTTATCAACTTAGTCAGCATTGTGCGAACACTGCCGAACAAAGTCCGCAGAAAACGTTCGCAGGTCTCATTCAATCCAGATTATAAGGAACAGCCGGACTGTCTGAGACTCGCAGCGATTGCATAACTTATTTGGTCACGTCGTCACTGCTCAGGACAGGTTCTCCATCCCTCCGGAGGAACCATACTGCCTTGTCATATAGAGATAAGGAGTAGTCCTGGCGAATGCCTTTTGTCACTTCTTCTATTTCCTCCACACGGTCACTCTACAGCTTAAGCGGTCGACGCGCACCTTCTTAATTACATTACAGAAATCACTAGAGCACATCTCTTTGACCTAACTGATGCGCCTTCGCAGTTCGAAGTATCTCTATTGGTTTGCATATGGTGCGCGTTGGCCTTTCTGTAGATCGCACTCAGGACAATTTACCTGGAGGCCATCTATGTGAAAGTGCCGACACCGTCTATGACGTTCGAGTCTTGTAAGATAACACTTACTGACTCCCTCTTCTACTGTTGAACAAATATAACCACTATCAGTCTCTTCTTTGAGTAAGTTTGTGCGCAAGTGTGGAAGCTGCAGGCGTGGATGGTTTCTTATGGGTATGGCCTGGCCGGTGTCCGTATGCACGAGACAACCGCCTGCGCCTTTGAAGTTGAATCCCCATCCTAATTGCGAGCAGTTCCCTCCACCTAGCCAAGGCATAATGCGATCTAAGTCCTTTTTCCAGCGCTACCAGTAGTCCTGCAAATTCTCATAGTTATATCAATAGCCTATCTCTGTGTCTTGAGAGATACTTGCTTGCACAACTATCAACCAAGACAACCTCTTTTCTTGCAGCAATGGAACTAGTTGAAAGACTACGTCCTATCAGTTTTACTCCCCCACTATTATCCACAGCTATTCCGTCTTCAGTCTCGTCATCGTCCAAATTCAGCGAGCAAAATCCACTCTCCACCGGTTCCGCGCCTCGGCTCTGCCTTGCGACATTTTGGCTGCGTCCTCCCGGGTGGTGACTCCGTTAGGAATACCATGAGGAGCTGCCGCCACGTCAACTACATTCGGGTAGTTTTGAGGCAAGTCGAGTTTCTTCGCAGGACATCTTGTCTCTACATGAATTTCTACCCTATGTTGAGCCAGACTCAAGGGTCAAAGCAGTGTTGGAGCATTCGAACACAGACTGTTAAGTCGCGTCTAGTTTCTCACTGGGAAGCGCTTGAGTTTGATACAGATTGCACTAACAGCCTGAGACAAATGATCTCTGGCTGCTTTGATCCCTGTGGATGTTCATTGGGGTTGAAAGGGAAGGAAGCCTCAGCTTCTTCATTGGGATATCATGACGCATGGGGAAGCTTTCACATGCTTCATATGGGAACGCCTATGCTATCATCAATGATTCATACAATCATCCATATGTTCTCTGATCTGATCAGAACTGACAAAACATTACGAACCTGATTACAGCTATGAACATTCATTATTTCTGCTATCGGAATACGTTGAAGGTCCTTTGCCTGTTGATCGTCGATCTTGGAACCATATGCGTTTAGGTCTGTAGGTTATCTTGAGATCTTTCCTGTGTTGCTTTGTCCTTGACTGTTTTGGGAGGCTTGAGCCACATACGAGAGAGAGAGGAGAAACCGCCGACACCCGCGCAAACTAAGGCCAACGCGTTGAAAGTGGTGCCGGTGGGTACCTTGTTCGCCTGGCGATCTTGGTCATTTTGATGATCTTCATCCTTCTGATCTTGGTGGATCTTTGTGATAGTTCAAGGATTTACGACCATGACCAACACTATATGATCACTATAACACTAAATAACGAAAATCGTACCTGCTTGTCTTTGTGCGAGTTGTTACTGGACTCCGCCCTCGAGCCGTGTCTTTCTACACGAACAACACATAAAGATCCAGATAGTGATGAAAGATCATCCATAATTCACCGCGGAAGGCTAGAGATCCCGATCCTCCTTCACGTTCACTCATCATGCGTGTATAGAAGAGTCCCAAAATGATCAACATTTCAAAATCAGAAGCTTCACCCGTAGTTCCTCCGGTATGATCATTTGAAGATCTAAGTTTTTACCTGATCCATCTTTACAGTCATTGATTTATTCTGCTCATGCAGCTACCCAATCTCTTATCATCAAACAACAGCCGAATAGTATCGTCGTGTTAAACAATTTTTTGGGTTTTTTTACGTGAAAAATTACAATTTCAACAAAGAAACGATATAACATATAAATATAACGACTCATCTCTAACGCTTTGTCCATTATACTAGACGCACGCCGCCCCAGGTAACTCTAACGTTATCCTTAACCTTAATGAAATTTTTAAAGAAGGAAATCCAGATTGTAGAATAACTATGATTCTTATCCTCCTTGACTGGCTGCTCAATTTGGAAAAATTGAAAGCTTTCTTACTCTTTGTTGGAAGCGTAGATTTTATCTAAAACTCGCTGGTTGTGAGGGGACGACTCATCACCCTGGTATTCTGTAACTTCTCTACTCGTCGTGGTAAGATTACACGAGTAATTGCTATCAGGCAGCATCACGTTAAACCAACTCAATTTGCGTCAATTTGTATTCGCTTACTTCCAAGAAAATGATGGCTCCTTCAAGAATTATACAACTTTCCCTCTATCACGTGGTCGTCCACGTGAGGTCGTCTTCCAATGTGGGAGAGTATGCACCTCGACTACAGCATATGAGGGAATATTATGCACGAGATGAATTTGGTCTCGGACAAACTCTGCCACCACCTGTTGCAGGTCCACCTCCTGATCCTCAAGGAGGAACATTGATGCCTTCCTATCATGGAGCAGAAGGAGGTGGTAGCTACCTTGGAAATCCATATCCAAGTGGGTGGAGTACAACACCTGTAGTTCACGCAGGTCGTGATATTGATATATTACTATATGGACTCCCACAACAAGCGCACCCGCAGCATCATGCACAGCAGCCCTACTTTGACCAGGATCAGGCACAGCCAGTGCCGTACGTACCACGTGGCAATTTGGTGATGGGAGCGCCTCCACGACAGCAGCAGGTACAGCCATCTTCTCCACCACAACCGATGCAAGAGGAGCAGCATGGGCAACAGGCGGGAAGTCCTTCTTTACATGAACATGACGAAGATCCTTCTGACCTTCCTCCAGAACGACAAGGGCAACATCCTCCAGAACGAGAAGGGCAACATCCTCCAGAACGACAAGGGCAACATCTTCAAGGACTAACTCTCCCAGAGATTCCGCCTTTCCCCTTCCCGGACGCGTGTCAGGAAGATCATCCGTTGGACTCGCCATTGGGAGAGAACAAGCGAGGTCCATTGGTATCAAATGACGACAAGGCGCAAGCAGAAGAAGATCATCTGCAGCAAACTTCAGCTAAAAAACAAAAACGGGTGTTGCCACCTTTTCCTGCCATGGTTAATACTCTTACTTCTTGTAGTTCGAAAAACAACGCCTCTAGCTCTACTTTGGAAGGACACATTCAAAATGCCTTTGAAAGTGCATTCGGGGATAAGGACAGGGACGGGGACTACAGCGTGACGTCGAAAGTCGGTACTCGTGGAGCGTTCGCATCTCTTTTCAAACCTTTGATGCAACAGATTTGTGACCCATTGCCCACTCTGTTGGAAAAACTAGAGGACGCAGCTCCCTTTCGAAAGGGCGAACTTGTTTTCTCGAAAAAGTACGTGGAGTACCTAGGAGTTGTAAGAGAACAACAATTAGAACTACAACTACTAAACGAGGATCGCGAGGATCAAGAAGAAGTTGAAGAAAGACCGGAGACGCTTCTGGGGAAGGAGATTTCAATGCAGAGACGCCTACAAGCGTTTCCTGGATACAGAGAGGCATTGCAGCTGGAAATGGCAGAACTTTTAGTCTGGTGGCATAACGATAACGAAGGACAGGGTGGACGACTAGGAGGACAGCATCAAGGTAAAGAGCCTGAATTTCCGCTATTAACATGGGAAATTGGGAGAGAATTCGCGCGAATCCTTAGACATTATTTAGACCTGGGTGTAGAGGAAGACCTGGGTGTAGAGGAAAATGCCCTAGTTGTACAGAAGGACTTCGCAAAATTACCGCCAAAGCTCGATGCAATCAGCTACGCCATTCGCATTCATCAAGGTTTGGAAATGGAATGGAGCGTCGACACAAATCTGCCAGAGGAAGTAAAAACTTCACCAACTTCGTTAGCTACGTTACAACCAATACTGCGCCTTGCCGTGAACAATGTCTTATTGACGAGTAGCGACGCAGCCAGCGCTCAGAATTTGAGGCTCTTTCTTCCAGTGCTACTTCTGTACAAGAGTGAGGACCACAAAGTCTTCAAAAAGCCTGCCATATTGTCAGCTCTCATGACATCAATTTTCAACAGTATGTTGCGATTGCGAGCCACGACAGAGTCAGAGTTAGACGAGAAGCTAGTTCTAGAGCAGCACGAGAAGCTAGTCGACATCGCAGCATATGTGCAGAAAGAGTTCCCCGGAACGGGGGCTTCGGTAGTCGCAGGCAGTATTGGAAAGTTTCCGCTAAATCAAATATTGGATGCTTTTTCATCTTCCGGCTCCTCAGAGGGATTGGGATTCCTCATTGCTAGAGGAGGACTAGATGAAGAGTGGTCGCCCTCTAGTTCAGCTGTTTCCGAAGCTGTAACGCAGAACAACACGAAAGCTCTGCAAGAGGAGATCGATCTTGCACATTCTGAACAACTTCGGCGTCTATTGAAAGAAAAAGTCGCTATTGTAGAAGCAAATACAATTCAAGCAAAGGCACAGCTAGATTCTGTAGTTTCTGACGGTAAGGGGGATTTGTTGACTACAGCTGATCGCTCACAAGCTGTTTTCCAAGCCTTAGAAGGAGAAATTGACGCTCTCTTTGCGAGCAGTGCAGCTGCCAGAGTGCTGGGTATTGGCACCAGCGCGCTTGCTGCAGATGTACATGTAGCAGGCCAGTTGTCCTCACAAGAAAAGAATGCCTTACTTCGATCTCTACAAACAAAAATGAACCATATTCTCATGGAGAAGTTGACGCATCCTTTGACTGTCTGGGTGCGCACAGAAGTGGCGAAGACTAGCTGTGGCTTTGGATCTGCTGCCTTAGTAGAACAAGTGCTCTCTCCCAGTCCCAACACGACTGGCGGAGGTGATCAGTCAGAGCGAGACCCACGAGCAGGAGAAGGAGTTGCTGTAGAAGCTAATATCGCGAAGGTTCAACGGTTTGTGCAAAGAGCTGCTTTCGGACAACAAGATGGATCGCCAGATGGCTCGCGTAACTTCTTTTCGAAAATGAATTTGGGAGCTCAGTCAAAGACCGCCGCTGAGAGGCAGCAAAAAGAGAAAGCAGCTTTTCAAGCGAAGATGGAGCAGATCCTGAGTGACTTCTATGAGAGTCCAGCAGCATCTCCGTCTCAAAGTCCTGAAGTAGCTCCTTCTCAACAAAGTCCACAACCAGAGGCACAACAAGAAGCAGACACTCAGACCTCTGAGGACAGATCTTCATCGCTTCAACACATGTCAGACGAGTTCATCTCCGAATTGCCATTGAAGACACCGTCACCGGTACCAGGAGGAGGAGAGGATCTTCAAACATTTCCTGCATCAACTCCATCTCCTCCAAAACCTCTGTCGCGATCGCAAAAGCGAATCATGCGAAACTCACGTTCTTCCGTGTCAAGAATAGGATCTTCAACAGCAATGCCTACGACTCGTTTCGCTACTGGTTCCACCTCCTGGGCAGATGTCCGCGACGAAGACGACGACGAGGCATCAAGTGAAGTTGTTAACCCTGTGCTTGGCGTCGTGGGTTCTGACTTGAGCGTTGCAGATTTCCAGAGACATGATTTTTCTGAAAAATGGAGACACCTAGAACAAGACGGAAAAATGAAAGTCCCACAACAGCAACAGGTAGATCCGTCATTTTCACAATCATCACGCACAAGAACAACAGGAGCTTCTTCTTCCAGTTCTGCGACGGTTCTTTCCAGTTTCGACCCGAAAGCTCCTGCTCGAGAAGTAAACTATGAAACTACGGACGATGAGGGTCGACCCAACCTATTCTTAGCATCTCCGCTGATTCCCACTCTCAGCCTCGAACGTCCACGACCAAAAGACAGCAGTTCTTCTCTACTGTCTTCTCAAAGCCACGAAGACGGAGCGTCTGCTGAAGATGCTGCTTCTCGAAAGGCGCGCGTTGATCTTGCTTTTCCTCCTATTGCTAAGAAAATGAAAAGTGCGGGTAATATCGCAAGTGGACGAACAAGTGCTGGAACAACAAAGGAGCAACAAGAAGGGGAAGAGCTGCCCTTTTCTAGTAAGGCAGGCACAGGCTCCTCTACTGAACCAGCAGCTCGTCCCCGACCTGTCCTGACGACCATGGAGAAGAAGATGGACGACGAGTCTAAAAAACAAAAGCCTGAAGATGAAGAAGAACCTTCTCCTTCAACGCCAAGAGGACAAGTGGTATCAGCTGAGGAAATTTTACGAAGAGGAAGTCGTGGCCCTCGCTCCCCACCTCCTAGACGAGAGCAACTGCTAGGTGTAGAACGACATGGAGAAGGACACGGAATCAACATGGGTAGAGATCACGAAGCAAGTGTTCATGTTGATGTTGAAGGATTACAAGGTGAGCAACAGGAGCAAGTACTAGACGTAAGAACAGCTGCTGCTGCTGCTCCGGTCCGCTCAGAAGGAAGAGGAGAAAAGAGTAGATTCTCATCCTCCCCTTTCACATCCCCGAATCAGCGTCGTGCTAGAACGGAATCTCCTCCATCTAAAGTTCAACAGCTACAAGGAGCATTAGGTCGTGGTGGAGAAGATCATGTTCATGAAGGAACTACAACGGCTTCTCCAAAAAATGCTGCTGTTTTTTCTCTATCTCCCCTCAGGCCAACGCCAAGCTCCAAATCATCAAGCAGCTTCTTATCCCACGTACCAGACACGCCAAATAGTTATGATGGGGAACGAGCTGTAGTTCCTGTTGTCGAACCTGTTGGATCTGGTCGTTTTGGTACGAGTCCTGGAAGCCCGTACGCTTCTCCTGTACAAGTAGGAAAAGCAAGCCCGTACGCTTCTCCTGTACAAGTAGGAAAAGGAAGCGCCTCGTCGTCATTTCCACAAACTCCGGAGTCTTTGCTTTATTTCCGAAGCCCTCCTCCTCTACAAGAAAGAGATCAAGGAAGCGCTTCGTCGCCATTCCTAGAAACTCCGGATTCTTTGCTTTATTTCCGTCCCTCTCTACAAGAAAGAGGTCAAGTAGATGGTGCACAAGCACCTAGCACAGGAAAAGAAGCACCACCTCCTAGTAGTACACAAGCACAAGAACATGCTTCAACGACACGACGAGCCCAAGTAGAAGAGCAACAACGTCCACCAGCACCACCTGCGGCTCTTCATAATTTAATATGTCTGAACATGATGCACACTTGCGCCGGTCCGCCTCCTCCCCTGCCCCCTCACACACGACTTACGGAAGTAAATCAGGTAGAAGGAGGGCCTCCTAGTACAGCAGCACCAGAACAGCACCAGTCAACAAGAAGAGGGAACCCAGACCCAGAACAGCTGCACCAAGACCTCCAACAACAACAGCAATATTATCAGGGAATAGATCAGGCTAGAAGACTAGTACAAGATCAAGAATTACTACCGCAAGAACCGCATGGACAAGATCGCAGTGTCTCTGCATCTGCTTCCACTTTGGACCAAATATACTTGATTTTGACGCTCGGTCCGCCTCCGCCTGTTCCCTCAGCGGTTGCGCAACAACTACTGCAACTGGAAGAAGACAAGATATTTCATGGCCTACATGTGATGGCGCCTCCTGAAGATGATCTTACAAGAAGTTGTACTGTCCCCTGCGAGACTGGGAGGACTCCGTCAACTACTACATCCCGTATTTTGAGGCTGCATGACCATCTCGACGTCGATGAGCCTACCTCTTCGTCTTCCCGTATTTTGAGGCTGGCTGAGCATCTCGATGCGATGAGGACTCCATCAACTACAGCATGCCGACGTTCTGGAAGAGGACGTGGTAGTGCAAGTAGCAGTGCCGATTGCTGGAGAAAAGAGATGACCACCACGGCGAAGAGGACACAAGAAGATCAAGAGCGGGAGCATCTCGGTCCAGGCCATGTAGCACCACGACAGACTCCTCCGGTAGGAGCACGACAGACTCCTCCTGTAGGAGCGCGACAGGCTCCTCCTGTAGGAGCACGACAGACTCCTCCTGTAGGAGCACGACAGGCTCCTCCTGTAGGAGCACGACAGACTCCTTCTCCTGGGCAAGCTCCTCTGCAGGAAGAACAAGCTTCTGTAGTTCATTTACCGCCTTCTTTTGGACAAGGTATTCTTGCTGACGCTGGTGATGGTGTAGAAGGAGATCATGGAGGAAATGGAGAGGAATCTATCATATATAAGATCGTGAAAACGGAGGCCTCGCAGATGATTCAAAGTGTTTGGCAGGTTCTACACAAGGGAGCAGATCAAATTTCAACAGCTGATACTCCACTTGGCGAACTGATGAAAGACAGGAGTGCTCTCGTGACAAAACTCGACAAACAAATGCAAGTTCCGCATGTCTATAAGCGCAAGATGAAGCGCCTTCAGGAGCTTGACAAAGTCCTGATACCACAGGCCAAGCAAGAATCCAGAAAACAGCAGTTGGAGATCCGAGAATTGCTTCCAATGCTTCCACAATGGCAAATGGATGCAAACGAATACATCTGCTCAGGGTCCTCTGGAGACGACGAAGTTCGTCACAAGAACTTTTTGTACCATAAACTCGACTACCAGTTTTCAAATTTCTTCGAATCTTCTCAACAAACTCAAGAAGGAGAAGAACTGCTCGTAATTTCAATGAAGAACGATCTCAATCTACGTCACGGAAACGCTGTAGTTGGAGAAGAAGATCAACAGAACAAGATGAGTATCGGCTTAAATGTAACAACTCTATGGGAACAAGGACAGAAGCAATTGTCTGCTTTCGCACGACGATATTTGGACTACTTTGCGAATCTGCCAAGTTCAACACAAGCTGAAGAAGCAGGAGAGGATCATCATGTGATCGCAGACGAGAAGGAAGACCTGATGGCAGTACACACAATGTTGCGCACACACAACTTCCTCGAAACTACTACTACAAGAAGTACTTCTATAGAGGCACTGGGAGACCTCCGCGGAGAACTAAGGAGTTTGCATTTGATTGGAGGGGTAACTTCTTCTAGGCTGAAGACTGCGATCCTGCAAGAGTTTTCGAAGGGGCACGAACCAGGGATCAGAGTCTTGAAGAATGGAGAGTTTGTAACAGAGACGAATGAAACGGGTGCGATCACACGAAGCCGTTTGTTTTTAGCTCTTTTTGCGTCTGCGCTGCGATTGGTCCTTTCCGCTCTGCAAGAGACTCTCATCACCGAGATGACTGAGAATCCTGGACGGTTTGTAGTTTTGTCCCCTTCTACAGGAGAAGACACTACTGAAGAAAAGAAACTTGTACAATGCTCTTCCATTCTTCTTCAAAACGTTTTGAAGGGGAATCAGCAGTATGTGGATGGCGTTCTGGCTGAATTAGTACCGTTTCTACAAGCTCCTGCTCAAAAGGACAAGACTAGTACTACCTCTCCACTCCGTATTGCACATGTGCTTGAGCATGTGCTGCATCCAGTACTTTTATCCAGATGGCAGAGCCACAAACAAGAACTTCTTCGCACTAGTCCTCGTCTGGATGAAGCAGAACTAGTAGAGCCTGTAAGTCCTCTAAGAAGTCCTCTCAGTACTAGAAGCGCTGCGGGTGATCGTGCTGCATCTCCATTACCGTCGATCGAACAGGAACAGCATCTTCATCAAAATGAACCTACACTCGGAGCACAAGGAGGACTAGCACCAGCTCCTCAGTTCTTCAACACGCGGTTTAGGCAAAGCAGATCTCCTTCTCCCGAGTACCCACAGGAACTGCAGGACCAGATCCACAGTCTTTCGGCTTCTTCGGAATCGACGCCCCCACAGGAACTGCAGGACCAGATCCACAGTCTTTCGGCTTCTTCGGAATCGACGCCCCCACAGGACCAGATCCACAGTCATCTCGTCCCTCCTCGTCAAATAAGCGTTTCCTCGTCTAATGGAGGCGGACCACGTCGCGCAAGCGTCTGTAGTTCCTCGACTGGTACTTCTGAAGTAGATTCTCTAGTGTCTTCTGTACTGTCATCTTCCTCCACTACCAGAGATCCTGCTTTTGAATTCGCGACAGAGCGAGCGATACTGGTGGCAACGGATAAACTACTTGCAAGCATATTGGATGATCAAGAACAAGCTCCAGATCATCTACATCGACGCTACAACTACAAAAGAAGCTTACAACTACTGGCGCACCCGCCGTCTCCGCAAGAAGAAGATCAAGAACAGAGCCATCTCTTCTGCAAAGATGTTTCGAAACTTGCGGGAACCAAAGCGGGGCTAAAGGCGTGGTGGATGCAGCAAGAACAGAGGAATAAAGTCGCCAGGTCGAAGATGAGGAAGCAAGACGTGGTGACTGAAGAAGGCCCTAACCATTTTCAGGATCAACAAGAAGCTGTGCCCTTCGTTCCAGCTCAATTTTTAGAACAATTGCGTCATCAACTTGGAGGAATACCTACCGCCCACGCGCACCAGGAGGCGTGACGTCGTCAACTTGTTGGAATACCTATAGTATACCGTAAACTGCGTTGTGCCGATGAAGTAGACCAATACGTAGACGCGCCAGTGCTTGAAGGCTACTACAACAAGACAACTATTGAAAAAGAACGTCGTGATCTATTCTTCTTGAAAACTAAGATTACTACTGCTTGATGATCACGAAGAAGGGTGGGCGTCCACCGACATGAACTCGATGAAGTTAAACCTTATAAACTTGAGCTATCCCGATACAACCTTGCGGCTATGACGATTGTCATATTCGTATTAAGTAGCCTCTTTTATTTTTTATAATTTTTAGACTTTTTCGTACCAATCAGACTTTGACATTGTTCTGCTCGTGAATAATTTATGCTTTTCTATGGAATAAGATTATAGTTAGAAGTTCATCAAGATCAACCACGAGATTATAGTTAGAACTAGAACTTACTATAGTTACACACACACTTAGGATGAAACTAAATTTGTTTCGTCATCGGTATTGTGGTCGCAATGAAATCGGAACAGGTTGTAACAAAAGCACCAACAAAGTACATATTTCGACATAGCTGCATTAGCTTTTTTAGCAGCATCAAATAATCGGAAAATAGGAGGTTTGGATAGATCAACTTGGAAAGAGGAAAGTGTCAAACATATGGTAAAAGGAGTATTTAATGGTCGTTATTTTCCTGAGAATCAGGTCATGCGTTGCGGTGATTCCTCCTGAAAAATTGTCATACAGAGCAGAAAAGTGTGGCGATCTTCGAATGTTTAGTCAGTCTCGGTATCTCTAAGAAGAATGGCATACTCAACATATTAGTAGTAGAAGTAGCAGTAGTAGTAAACCCATTCATGGGGTACGCCCACATCAACACAAATCATTGAATGACTAGAACAGTTTTTAGTGATGTTATGATGGTCATAGTACAAATGCTCATAGATTTAGATTATTGTGCTCCACCGGTATTATTGTTGTCATATAATACATGATTGAATTATGGTATTTTCTATTTATAGCATTGAAGGCGTTATTGAATTATTAGGTTTTTTAGCATTAAAGGCGTTATTGAATTATTAGGTTTTTTAGCATTAAAGGCGTTCTTGTAAGGGACTTGTGATCTCTACTGTGCACAATTTCGATGGTTGGTACACGCGCTCTCAAAGAGCCATTCAGTTTTATCAACACGTTTTTATCATCTACTTTTACTGGTGTACTATTCAAAAACGTTTCTTCTGTTCAGTGACATCGACGCTGCTCACAGTCGAAGACTATCGGTGACATCAACGAGGCTGGTCGGCCAAGAATACAGTGTCGTGTCCGTGATCTGTTCTTGGTGGTTGAGGAGTGTTGCCGACAACTGAGCGTCGGTCGTTGAATCTTTTCTCGGCTGCCCAGTGTGAACATTGTTTCCTCTGTCGGATTCGGATGTCGACGTCGATTGTGTTTCTGTCGTATCGTAATCTCTCGTATAACTAAAACGTGAAAGCAGGACCGATTAATATCATGAAAGCGCAGAAAAATACGTCTCGGATCTGTAGTATGCATGCATGGAGAAGTAGATGGAGTAGCCAGTGGAACATCAGAAGATGTACAACAGGGAGACCACATCGACGATAGTAGATGAATAACGTGAGACTTCTCTCATGATGAGAGGAAGTGGGAGTGTGAGCAAGCTCTCCTCAGTAAAAGGACAAGATAGAAGTGACACAAGAACTACTCCGATCATTATTCTGCACGAAGCTACTACAATCACGATAGCCACCGATTACTACGATCACTGTGGCCGCTCATCGTACATTCCTGCAATGAACAATTAGTTCCTTTAAGTGTTCACCAAATACTGCTCCTCCTTCTGCTCAAATTCTCCAAACTATAAATTATGATCCGGAGCGCCGGCGCCTCCTCTGCTCCTTCCATGCTACCTCCAGTCAAATACCAACAACTCCTGGCTGTATTTCTTTCTGCTAGGACCACATCTCTTCTTCGTTCCTCCTGTTCTCGCTGTCCTTCTTTGCCTCATACACTAGCTACAGATACGTTGCCCTCGCGTGCCCACCCTTTCGCTTTAGTACTGCAATAATAGTACGACCGCTGTAGTACCTCCCCATCTACCTTTGGTTTTGGGCGAACAACACACTCGATCTACCTGTGTGGTACCCACAGTTTTTTGATGAGCAACCACTTGTGTCTACAGCCTGTATGGTTGCAAAATACGATCTTGAAATGATCGTGTATTCTTCCAAATATAGAGGTTTCATACTCAGAAGTTTTTGCTTTGAGGTGCTTGGTGTCCACATGTTGATCGAACAAGATCATGTTGGAGACCTCCAACTTTCGTCTGTAGGTGTGGGATGATGAATGTGGGTATAAAAAAATCGAGAATCCGCTAGAGGTCGTGGGGGTTAAGGCGGATTCATTGAGAACGAGGAACAGGTGGTTATGGTCATCACGGGGTCTTTCTTCATGGTCATCACGGGGTCTTTCTTCAAACATGACGATTGCTCACAACGTCTAGATGACTTGGACGTAGCCGTAGCTACGCCCGTCCTCCCACCCCGAAGACTCCTTTCGTGTCTTCCTTTGTCTCTTGAAAAGGCCCTTTTCCACGTCATCCTTCTGAAACAAGGCGCACCTCCGTCATCGTCTGAGACTGCTAGAACTCGTCCTTCTCTAGTTGTACACCATGTACTTAGCAGCAGCAGAGAATTTCGCGTAGCCACGGATGACCTTGTTGATGGCCTCAATCATATCCTTTTCCGATATCATCTTCCTTCTCGCGCGAATCGCGTACATGCCGGCTGTTTTGTTCGTGATCAATATATTGTTGGTCATGACGAGTATGTTGAGGGTGATGTCTTGCTGTTTGAATTTGATGAAGATGAAGTTTGATGATGAGATGTTGCCCTCAGAAGAATCAAAATCTTCTTCGAAGGCATCAAACCATCTGAAAACTTGAAAAGTACTAGAGGTACTCTGGTGTACAAACACCGATCTACTCCATCTCCACATCTACTCCACCATCTCCATCTATTCAACGAAAGCAAATTTGAATACCTTCTGTGCACACGGATCTCAGCTCAGCTCCACTGGCGTTAGGACAGAGACGAGCCAGGAGTTCAAAACGGATGTTCTTCTCCATACTCATAGTTCTAGCGTGGATTTTGAAAATGTGCGCTCTACCCTCTAGATCCGGCACGTTAAACTCAACCTTTCGGTCCAATCGACCGGGCCTGAAGTGAACAAGGTTGAAGTGAAGGAGGTCAGCGTTGATTGTGCAGCGGAGGTTGCTGGTCAAGTTGTTGATTGTGAAATAAGCGGCCAAGTTGTTGATTGTGAAATAAGCGGCCAAGTTGTTGATTGTGAAATAAGCGGCCAAGTTGTTGATTGTGAAATAAGCGGCCAAGTTGTTGATTGTGAAAGCAGCCAAGTAGTTCTTGTGAAGGAGGTCAAGTTGATTGTGAAGGAGGTCAAGTTGTTGATTGTGAAGGAGGTCAAGTTGTTGATTGTGAAGGAGGGCAAGTTGATTGTGAAAGCAGCCAAGTAGTTCTTGTGAAGGAGGTCAAGTTGATTGTGAAGGAGGTCAAGTTGTTGATTGTGAAGGAGGTCAAGTTGTTGATTGTGAAGGAGGGCAAGTTGATTGTGAAAGCGGCCAAGTAGTTCTTGTGAGGGAGGTCAAGTTGATTGTGAAGGAGGTCAAGTTCTTCAAAAAGTTTATCATTCTCTTTTTACATTCCAAAAAGTTGTACCTCAACAAAGCTGGATCCAAGGTATCCGGTCGATTCGTCGCCATCAACACCTTGACGTTTCCACGGGATTCAAAACCGTCTAACTGGACAACTATCTCCAACATTGTTCTGCTCACCTCACTGTCTCCACCCTCGTCACGGGAACCGCCGATCGCATCCACCTCATCGATAAACAGGATGCAAGCTTTCTTACTCTTTGCTAACGCAAAAAGCTCACGCACCATACGAGCTCCTTCGCCGACGTACCTGAGGGTGAAAAAGTGATGGGGATGTGATGGTGAAGATGTGATGGTGTGAAGAAGTGAGGAAATTCTTGGACACATTTTTGGGTTCTATGAATGATGCCCACCTTTGAGTCACAATCACATACATATTTTATCGTAGACTTGTTGGTTCTTGTCCTCCTCAAAACAGTGTCTTCCTCTTCGGTTATGAACAAAATAAAAATCTTCACTATTTCTACTTCCACTCATTCCAAAACTAATATTTTTTCTCTAGTTCTTCCCAATACCTCTGCACCAGTTCTGAGCCGATGACGCAGATGAAGCAGGCGTCTGTTCTGTTCGCCACTGCTCTTGCTGTCAAGGTCTTTCCCGTTCCTGGTGGTCCCCACAAGAGGACACCCTTTGGCGGATCTATACCCAATGCCACAAACCTCTCTGGACTTAGTAACGGCATTTCCACGACTTCCCTCAGCTTCTCCAACTGGTCCTTGCATCCACCAATATCCGCGTAGGTTACGTCGGGCTTCTCTTTTTAATTAGAAGGAGGAGGAGTACTAGGGGTGAAATTTCACAAAAACAACATGATGATCATCGTGTCCGCTGGTCTCAGTGCAAGATTAGAAGTGCCACGATAGGACTTTCCCATCGCCATCAGAAAAAACCTCGATAAAAAAACAATTTTCACTCTGATCCAAGTTCATGCCATAACAACCGTCATCATGGTGACCGTTGGGTCGATCTTCGGTGGCAGAGGAATCTGGATTCGATACTTTCCGCCATGGCTTACGTCCACTCCCACTCGCATTCCTTCCTCCACATCTGCGGCAGAGAGTTTCTCCCCTAAGCCTACAACAAACTTCGCAAACTCCCGGATTTTGATCATGTACCTACGGATTTGTTTGGTGGGTGTAAATGTAAAATTAATTTTGATTATTATTTGGGAGGTGTTATAGTAAGCTTATGATCCTTACAGATAGTCAAAAGTCTTATCTTGCACGGGAGGTGTAATAGTAATTCTAATTTATTAGTGTATGGCTCCGGTATTTGGTAACCTGATTTTGATCATAAGGGAAAACAAGAAAAGAATCCTGTAAAAGTAGAAGTACAGCTGTAGTTGATGAAAGCAATGTTGTACTCCTTTCTGAAATTTGATGATAGATGAATGAGAGAGTAGGCTCTGAAAAAAAACTTTCCTCTAGTTTTACCTCGCATCATCGGTCTCCGCATCGATGATTTTCGTGCATCTCGCTACTTGCAAAGCCTGCTCTTGCTTCATCATCTGCTTATCGCCCTCTAAGTCCCACTGCGAGGGTGGACACAAACCCGTGTCACTCTCGCGAATTCCTATTATCTTGTTAATCCGCTTCAGGTATTCTTTGATGCCACCTGAGTGAGTGTGAGCGGAGGTGTTTTTTGTACTCACATACACATTGTGAGGAAGACAAGACTTTCATTTTTCAAGTACCACATAAACTTTAGTACTGAGAAGTTTCAGTTGAAATCGGGCCGGCCGGGAGTAAGCACATTGAATTGGAAGAGACGTAGACTACTAGCGCTGTAGTGCATGTAAGCACATTGAAAACTAATAATCTCATGAAGAGCAGGAGGAGGAGGTTGTCGTAAGAGGAAAACGCCCATAATGTTGTACTTTGTTCTAATTATAGTCGTGTTGTCAGTACCTTCCACATTTTTTATCGGCACCGTGTAGGGTCCGAGACCATAATTTCTGAGGATTTCAATGTCGTCTTCATCCAACGGTTGCACTTCGGGCTCGTCTTCTTCGGCCGCGGGGCCTTTCTTGATCACGTTGCCTGAGCTGTCCATTTTGTTTGTTGTTGTGGATGTTGTGGCACTGGTAGTAGTGGTTGGTGTTGGATGTTGTGGTACTGGTAGTACTAGATGGTGTCACTGATTTAGGTTCTTGTGAGTAGCCGCTTCGTGGTGGATGAAACTGCTAGGAAGTACTTATGTTGTCGCTGGCGAGTGTTGTAGCGGAAGCTCTTAATATTCTCGCTCTCGTCCCTGGCCGTCAATTCTCTCTGCCTGAAGGAACGACAGGCTCAGCACCGAGTTTCCGTCCTCTCCTGCGGGCAGCTGCCCAATGACATTTTTTTCAGCGAGCTACAACCGTGCTGGTCCTCTTGCTAATTGATTCTTGCACTACAGAATTATCTTAATCTATCAGGCTCTGGCTCATGAAGGCAACATATAATTCATGAATGACTAAACTGAATCACATCACTGGAGGGCAAAATCGCTGGTGAGACGTTCAAAGTCAAACGTTTGAAATTAGGAGACATCCAAGTCATCGAAGCATCATTCTAACGCGAGTGACTGCGGTCATTTCATCTCATTCGGCTTGCCTTCACTGCATCATCACAAGCATGGTTCTGGTTGTTGATATTCTTTATTCGCCTTTCTGTAAGTCCAAATGTTACCTGAAGGATCTTCGAGTTTGCTTGCGCTGCGGCGTGCCACATTCCTGCAGACTCAGATATTGGATTCTGTTACTCCTGCCGACGAACAACATGTCTACACACGGAATTTCAGATGGATTTCTCATTTCTACAACAATTTCTGTCAGTGTCTTCTGTTCTGCGCACACAACATTTTTTGAGATCATACCGATATTGTCAACAATTTCCATCGCGAGGACGGACGCGGGTCTTTCATTCGATTGTTGTTTGTATGCTTACACTCCGGCACGGCCCGTGACTGTTCACTGTGCAATCATCTTCATCACAAGAGAAACAGGGAAAAGAATTTGAATTGCGTAACAGTTGCAGAATTGAAAAGAAGAGTCACTTGCTGTGCTGATAAAGCACGAGCACCTGGAAAAGAAAAGTTTGTATTTGATTTTTCTGTACAAGATGATTGCGAAGAAAACGTCAATGTTGTACGGGTACGGGATTACATCAGGATAAAGAACTTTGGCTTTCCAGTATTGCTTTTCAATCAACATTCCTATTCACTCCCCCCCACTCCGTTCCTTAACACTTTTACGTTCCTAACGATCTCGTTAGCCTATAGCGGAGATAAATTTTCGCGCTCTCAATTCCATGCGCTTCACATAATTGCTTTCGCTCTGTTGCACTACTAGCTTCCCTGGGCCTAGACCCCCTCCTCGGGTACCTCTACTTCTTACTTGTTGGAACGGAGAAAGGAGTCTTGTCGGCTTTCCTTGTTGATGTGGCAGTGCTAGGGGACGCGTTGTATCTGTAATTGTTGATGAGGTGGCACCAGAACAAGTAGGCCTATGTTTATCGTCGCTATGCTGATGTGCACGTGCCGAGAACGATGTCGACACTCCATTTACGTTTACCCTCCGCGCCCCGTGATGTTCTTCCTGCTCCCGCCCTTGTTGTTGTTTTTGGCTTGTCCCTGATGTGGCAAGGGCAAGCATCCGACGATGAACCGCGTAAGTCGCCTTCTTTTTTGGAGATGTTGTGGTTGTGGAGGCAGAAGTGGCTGTGTTAGTTATGTTCGTACTAGTCCCCACAACAAGAACGGGTGGTCGTGAAATGACTGGTGCATCTTGAAGTTCTGGCGAAAGAAGAGACTTGCTGTGCGCTAGACGAGGTTCAGCCTGGTTGACGTTTGATACCTCTTGAAGACCATCATGGCGTCTGCTTACCTTACTTGTGTTTTTTATGTCATTTTCCTGCAACTCTAACACCTGCCTCTGCTGCTGCTCTTTAGGGACTCCCACCTGCTCATCACCTCTACTCCCTTGCTCCGAAGCTCCTGCCTTGTGATCCTCATGCATCAACAGCCTCCGTGCTCTCAACGGCGACGTCTGTGTCCCCACCGAAAGTGCTGGTGAGTGCAGTACTGTAATCGCGTTGCAGGAAGTGTCATGTTCCTGCGCTTGACCTCTGTGACTACTTGGCCCATTTCCTTGTCCAACCGCGCAATCTAATACGGTAGAAGCTGGCGATGTTTTTGCGGGTGAAGGACCTCCGTCTCCAACGGGTGTATGCAGGACTAAGGGTGCTTGATAAAGAGCAGGAACAACCGCAGATCCTTCAGCTTCTAGAACGTACTTATCGAAATCCGTCATCTGCTTTAGCGTAGTTGTAGTACGTTGGGGCCTGCTCGCCACAACTACATTTTCGGTCTCGCTTGCGCTTGTCCCCTTGCCGAACAGGTCCACCTCGACATGTTGTAGTTGCCCACCTCGCTGTCGTCCGTGATGAACTTCACTTTTTTCACTTCTGTGTTCATCACTTTCTCCCTCTTCTTCTAACGACAGTGCAATAACAGGTGGACGCGGTACAACTTTGTTCGGTTGAAAGCGCTCGTCAGGAGGCTCAAACGGGTCGTCTGGTCGATAAGCGGAAGATACCGAAGAAGTAGATATCGATTGTTTTACAACAGTTTGAGCTTTCCTCAGTTGGCTTTCGCTGTTCTTCTTTTCCTGAAGTAGCTGGGAACCTATTGCTTTTTTCATCGTCTTATTCGTTCTTTCAGTTGCAGTTTGTCCGCGTCCGCGAATAGTACGTACAAGAACAGGCTCTATTCTCTTTTGTGGTACAACTACTTGGGTAGTACCATCAGATTTTCCTCGCGGTGGCGGGTTATCACCGAGTGCATTCTTGCCTTTGATGTTGTTACTCCCTTTCTGTTTCTTCATCAGCTGATTATAGTTATACTCGGCTGGCCTCAACGACGAAGGCATAGATGGCGTGCAGTCTGACATGAGATTGACGACGACGTGCTCAGTAGTACTTGTTCTAGTGGTGCTGCTCTTTTGGTTTACTATGGCGAGACTTTGTCTTTGCGAGCCTGGTAGTGGGAGCTGTTGAGGGGGAGCACATGCTGTCAATGGTAGCGTGCTAGTAGGAGTGGAGTATTTATTATTGCTCTTACGTGCTCTATGGTCTTCTGTAGTTCTAGTCGTAGTACTAGTAATTCTACCTTGCTTTGGCAGTGTTCGATGTCCTCTTCCTGACGAAATAGATGCAGACGTAGAGGTACCTTGAACATGCTGATCATCTAGCCTTGTACTTCTCGAGCAGACTCTCGTCTGTTGAGCAGTACTACTTGTGCCGCTTACCGTAGCAGCGCTTCTCCGAATACACATACTCTCCAACTCCTGCATCTGCGCTAGAAACTCACTCTTCTCAGCCCGCAGCCTGGCTTCGTCTGCAGCGATTCGGTGTTCTTCCCGTGCAAATGGCGTCTGTGGTTCATCTTCGATACTAGATGTAGACTTTGCTTGGCTTTCTTCATCGTTTTCTGCTAGAAGAAACTGCTCCACATCCTGTCGTAACAAGCGAAACCTCAACTGACTGTCTTGTTTTGCTCTCTTCAAGCGTTCCTCGGCTTCTAAGCGTTTGCGCTTGATATTCCCGAGGGTGCGCCAGAGTTCGGGGATACTGCATGTCGTTGAGCTTGAGTAGTAGCCTGGTCCGTGAAGATGACTCCTAGACGAACTTGGGGATGACTCGTCCTCGCTGAGAATCTGTGCCTGTAGTGATAGTGAAGGAGAGAGATATTAACCTGGCGATCTGTTCATCACTACCACAACTACTAAAAGGGATCTCCTCGTAGTACCTCCTCACTATTGCTTCCGCCTCTGCTGCTGCCCATCTCTCGTCTGCTCGTTCGACTCTTCTCAAGGTCGGGCGGTCGTCTCCGTTTTCCTCCACGATAGCACTCCTCCACTTCTCTTCTTGTTCTCCTCGGCCCAGGTAAAAACCTATCCCGCAATGCAGGCACGTCATCGACATCCCGGTAAGATTTTGCAAGCACTGGAGACCGCTCTGCAAGCGCTGTCAGAAGCTGGCGACGCTGACTCGAGGTCAGGTTCAGATTTTCACATATATCCGCAAGCTCCGACTCGACGTTGTCTTGGACGTCACGATCGAGACGTTTTGCAGCTTTGCTATGATAAGTTGCATCACCTCCAGCACTGCTGCAGCCTTTTGAAGTTGATGAAGAGGAAGTCTTGGTTGCAAACGAAGAGGACTTTGATGGGCCATTATATGCATTCCCCCAACTTGGCCTGTGCGGCGCTCTCCCTCCACTAGCTTCTCTCTTACGTGCTGGGCTACTGCTGCGTATGAAGTCTCCATAACGCGAGGCGAATGTGGTGGACATTTGCTTTGAATTTGATATCTTGCCGGGAACCAGTTAAGTACAAATAAAGATTTCTCCTCACGATGATCAGTCGACTTTTTTGCTTAGTCATGATTTTGATTATAGTCTGAGGGAAATCGAAATGCTTCACACACCTTGATTTTCTTTCCTAGAGCGCTTTTCTTTTCACGTCGACGCGCATCCTTTTTGTCTTTAACCAATAGCCTACCGAAAACAGCCATTTTCAAGCAACATGAATTTCTCGCTTTTGAAAACAGCGCAGCTGAAAAACGGCCCATGGAGTGTCCTGCACTTGCTTTGCCGCCACAAGTGTGAGCAACCACTTCAGTAGGTGGCTCAGGTGAGAGACAGCAAGTAATAACAAACTTTGCTGGCAGAGAAGTTACATTCATGAACATGTTGAAAGGAGTCGAATTATACTGCAGCAACAGTTTTAGCAACATTATCACATAGGGCGAAAATCTACTTACATCATTAGAATGTGTATGTGTCCCAAGGGACGCACTATTAACATCTACTTTATGTTTATCTTCTTCTACGCTGTCGCTTCCGAGATGAACAGCACGCACCTTTTCAATTCCTTCGGATACTCCTTCTGTCTGTGTCTGCTGCGCAAGAGAAAATCTGCTATACCACGATCTTGGATGTGGAGACGCAATGTCCCATCAGCCAAATTGAGCTTATCGTTGTCATAGAAGACTTCGAATGCGTTGACATATTTCTTGTTCACTGCCAAGTTTTCGTCAACGCCACCCGTGCCATCCACATAGTGGAAAACCTTGATTTTCTCCACATCACCGAACCAGCCTTCTGCATCGCCGTACGCGAGTCGCGTCACGACTTCTTGGGAGAGGTTAGAGGATGAAACATTAACATACGGAAGTAGTATGTAGATCATCTTGTATTGATGGCATCTTGTTGTATGGCTCTGGTATTTGGCAACCTGAATTCGATCACAAGGATTCCGTGCTTGTTTTCCTCATGATCAAAGTCAGGCTATCCCAAATACCAGCACCATTCACATCTTCGCGTTACTACTTTTCTATCGTAGCACTAATATACATAGCTTCATCTAGAACAAGTAGGTCTATTGTTTTATTTGGAGAATTCTAATCTTGATAGAGAACAATAATCCTGTCTACTTTCATCCTTGCCATAATAGATTCAATTTCAAAGAATTTCAGTCTTGGTTTTCGCACCCCCCTATCCGGATGAAATCCTGCGCCAGGTGGTGATCGATTGTGCAATGCTACATGTTCGATGCCGAAGAACGACGCAAACGTCTTTTGAGAGGACTCACAGGGATGCCACCATGACCAAATGAGCCAGCTTTGTAAGAATAATTGCGTCGCAGGAGTGGCTTTGAGGAGGAGAGTCTGAGTGTGATTGAGATTTGAGTGACAGGATGGTCTTGTACTACATAGATTTAAGCGTAGCAAAGAATCTAACTGGTTGGTCGTAGTTGACGTCGTTTCTTGAAGCGCCTTTCTTTGCACAAAGACGACAGGTGCCTCTAGCAATCAAATACCCCCGTATTCGCGCACTTCACGCCAAAGTCTCGCCCAGACACGACGTCTACTCTATGATCGTAGTGCAACTCGTGCAGCAGTGGGTTTGGATCCTGCATAAAAACCGTGTCAAAGTCCTGATACACCACGTCAAAGCCCAGACGATTCAGCAACGCACTTACCACGTACTTGTTGTACTTAGATGGTCTTGACAGTTCCAGGAATACAGAGGAACTCGTAGCGACTAGCGAGTTTGCACGCATCGTAGCTGATGTCGTCTAGGCAGAAAACGAAGAAACGCCAATCTAGATCGAAAGCAGCTGCTCGTTTGAGGAAGTTCCGGAGATATTTTGACAGTCTGGCACCCCACAGGATTGTGACGTGGACGCGTGGGACGAGAAGGCGTTTAAGTTTTAGTTTGCTTATTTGTTGGGTGTCGACCTGCGTAGTGGTGTAGTTTGACCCACCTAGACCTACAGTAGTAGGAGACAAAGTTTCTTCCTGCCCCTCCTGAGCATCAGTCTCGTACTCTTGACCTTCAAAAAGACTGTCGCCTAACGCTTCGCTTTGGAATGTCGTAGTCCTTGACGATGCACCTGCTATAGCTTGCTTGATTCCGATGCCTCCACCTTCAACCTTACGCTCATCTGCTTGCCCACTTTGACCATTCCCGTTCATCGTCTCCAACAATATCCTCTCGCTCAATTCCTGATCCCTGGCTTTGAAGTAAGACAGCAGGTTCAAAAGGACGTGCAAAACGTTGAAAAAAGAGCTGTTGAAGAGCGATGGCGATGCCTGAATAGCTTTGGACATTGCTCCGAGTAACGCCATATGTTCATCCCAGGAGAGGTTGAAGAAGTGAGTCACTCTTTCTTCGGAGGCTTCGTCGTCTGCTGGTTCTCGTCCCCTGATTTCATCTGACACTGATTCATCCACCCTGAAAACATTGAGAACAGAAGCTCTCCTACAATATTTTCTGCTTGTCTACTAGTACGAGTGCTTGTTCTTCGCCCACCACTAAGAGGCTCTCTCCCATACATCCCACCATTTGGTTCCACCAATACAGACGGCGCCACTATTGACGTTACTTCTCTACTCGGATCTTGTGCATCTAGTTGTCGAATCCTTTCTGTGTCAACGACTAGAGGATTGTAGGCTGTTGAATAGATGCGCCTCAAGAGCTTGAACCTTCCACCGTCGCCTATCCCATCCCGTTGGTTGTAATCGAAAGGTTGGGGAAGGCCTGCTGGACCACCAGCAACGCTATTCTCTGCTATCCTAGTTGTACTAGATGCGTGCGCCGCCTCCGCTATTAAAGCTCAGCACTCACTGGCCACTGACTCTGAACGGAAGAGCCCCCCCCAAGGCTCTCCCCTATCGATCCCTTCGCTTTCCCCTGTTCTCTCAAGGAGGCCCTCTCAGATTTCAGTGACAAACCTCTATGACCAATGAAAGTTGAGCCTTAGCGCTACTTCTTCTTTCGCTACTGCTCTCGCTGCTTGCAGAACATTCGGCGACGCAAAGATCGTTCCGTCTGGAGGAACGTAGGTCGGATCTTGGAGAATGACCTGGTTGCGATGTCGGCAAAGAGTGTCGACAACACTAGAGTCATCCACCTGTTGTGTACTAGATGTTGATGGTGTGGTCAACGGCGCAGCATCGAATAACATCGTCTCTGCAGTGCGCATCTGATGCGAGTCCTGAGGCGCTCTACCGTCTCCTTCGACCTTCTTCGCCTCCTTCCTCTTCCAGTTGTAACTTAGACTTGTCTTTGATGCTCGCCTGTTGACCTTTACCTTTTTTTGCACTTGAAGTTGCTCTACGTACAGGTTTTGTCATCAGCGCTGGAATCGATACCACACCATCTTCGTCGTGATCAGCAGAAAGAACGCTCTCCACTACAAGATTCTCAGAAGCCACTATCTCAGTTGTCCAAGGCCGTTTTGTTTCGAGTTCAAGCAGTCCTGGTGCAGTAGAAGTGCTCTGTTGATGATGATCTCGACCTGCTGCAACTGGCGCAGCAGCTGCCTCTACTTCCACTGCGTCTTCTACTGATGGATCATAGCCAAGGTCAGCGCTTGAGCCTAGAGGCGCAGGATTTCTTTCTTCCGTATGACTGTCGAAGTACAGATCCAGCTCACCTCTGTCCGTCTCCACGCCTTGTTCGTACGTAGCCCCAGAAAATAGCGAAAGTTTCCGGAAAAACATCTCTGCGGTGCCTTTTACCACGTCCCCCCGAAAGTCTCGCATTAAGAAGATGGTGTTTCCACGACCACGTGGTGACAGCGCATCACTCATCCATTCATTCACGCTGCCGCTGGCAAACTTTTTTTTTTTTTGGGACCTGGGTCTATATTCCTCGCAAACGCCAGAAGCAACAAAGCGTATAAAACTGAGACAAATACAGCGCCACTTTTCTTTGCGGATGTATTGACTGTAAGGGTGCGCCTAGGCTATGAGGGAAAGCCATGCGCCTAGGCTATGAGGGAAAGCTAACCGGCTGCTCTTCTTAGGTACTGAGGATGAAGTGAGAAGTGCTTATGTAGATGGCCTTTTTGCTAGAACAAGAAATGAAGAGGGCTCCTGGATGAAGTACAAGTAGTGAGCTGAGTTGATAACCGAACACTACAAGTAGTAATTATGACACATGTTGACAGGAGAGAATGAAAGAAGTACTTACAGGACATTAGTGCGCACAGTATTCTTCTCCTGCACAGTGAAGTTAATAGAAGACTCTAAGACCAGGACAGCTACAGGGGGCGAGCTTTTTAGTAGAAGAAGCCTCGAATTACTTTCGTCTTGCGCTCCTCTTGATGATGTTCATACTTCTTTCACAGAAGACACTTCATGAGGTTCTAATTGTAATTCTCAGTGCGCTTCTCTTCCACACCTTGAAGATCCCAACTCTTTTTTTGCACTCCAACGACCAGGGCACAGATGAGACCTTCAAAAGCAAGATGCGAAAAAACAGACAATTTTTTTTTACAACTGGGCACAAAGCAAGAAGGCCTGCTGCTTAAATGAATGAGAATGCCTCCGCCTTTTTTTAGTCCTGCAGAGAGACAGAGAAAGAGAGAACACGCCGACTTTCTCAAGGACGCTCAACACGGTCGCGCCGACAGCTAGGAGCATCGAAACAACACGGCAGCGCTTTTTGATGGTCATGGAGATACGCATGAGAGGGCTTGAAGATGCAAGCGTAGGGGTTTTGTTCTAGCTGCACTAGTTACAAGATCATGAGAAAGATTATGGGCGCAGTTTTCAACCGTTGACGATGATCACCAGGACCATTGTGGAAATGGAAGTAAATGTCACCCAATCACTCAGACGCCCCCCCGCGATGTCATCTGTTGCAGGCGTAGGGGTTTTGTACTAGCTGCACTAGTTCGAAGAAAATGAAAAAGATTCTGGATGTAGTTTTCTCCCGTCGACGATGATCACCAGGACCATTGTGGACATAGGAAAAATGTCATGTAATCACTCAGATTGTCCCCCTCGATGTCATCTGTTGCAGGCGTGGGGGTTTTGTACTAGCTGCACTAGTTCCAAGAAAAAGAGGAA